ACAGAGAGATTGTAGTTATACAACAGCGTGTCGAGAACAATCAAAGGAAAGGACGATGTCACGAGGGGGAATGAATGAATTCCGAAATAAATTGAGAAAGAAGAAAATAAGTCAATGGTTTCCGAAATGTTTCCACAACACTGGTGAGATGACAACGGAGTTCAACTTGCAAAAAGGCCTTTTTCTTTTCCTTTGCGTGTCTCTCACCACTACGTTATCTAGGATTATTGATTTTTTAGATATAAGGGATATTTACTCATATCGTTATCAAACTTATACCTAAGTTGCATTTTAGTTCATCAACTAAATTATTCGTTGAAATAGTCCACCAACTCTATATTAATTAGCAAATTGGTCCTTTCATTACATTATGTTAATGTTACAGACAAATATAAAGGTAAAACAGTTCAGTTAAATAAAATACTAAATAAATTAAAAACTAAAATAAAAAATAAAAAAACCTCTCTCCCTCTCCCACCTCACAACCCCTAGCCCAATAACCATCACCCCATCGCCCCATCTTCTCCTCCCCGCACCCCACCCTCTCTTCCCCTCCCTCCTTGTCCCCACTCCTCTCTCAATCTCTCTCTCTCTTCCCTCTTTCTCTCTTCAAACAAACCCAGATCCCTGTAGGCACATCCGTAGCCTCTCTATATTTAGGAAACTGAAATCGGAGGGAAGAGAGGGACAAGGAGGCTGGGAGAGAGAGGTTCAGTGGTTGTTTTTTTTTTTTTTTTTTTTTTTTTTTTTTGGCTGGGTGGGTGGGTTTTTTTTTTTTTTTCCTTTTTGTTTTATTATTTTATAGTTCTTAATTAATTTTTTTATATAATTGTATTAATTTTTAATCGCATATTTTATTTTATTTTAACTATCAAAAGTCTTATTTATCCCCATAAATATAGCATGTGCTGCTCACATGATTAAATTTAACACAAAATGTAACGGTATGACCAATTTATCGATTAATAAATAATTTGTGGACCATTTAAATGAATAGTTTAGTTGATGGACTAAAATGCAACTCGAGTATAAGGACCATTTGAGTAAATAACCCTTTAGATAAATAGATTTATTCCAGAAGTTGTAACTTGTATGTAATTAACCATAATATCGGTTGATTATCAAATTAACTAGTCTAAACTTTGGTTGGCCGGATTAGATTTACAGGTGCAAATGACCCCTTCAATGTTTCAAAAATGATATGTGAAGAAAGACACTAATTTTATTTTTCCTTCCAAATTCCAATTCTAGTGTTAGCAGCATGCACGAAGCCTTTCCAAATTCAAAGAGATGTAATCTAATTTTATGGAAAATGAATCATCATTTTAAAATACAATCAATTAGTCATGGATCATGCGATTAAAAAGTCAAACCATGATTGCTCCGTAAAATTTCATGGCCAAAGCTCAAAGCGTATCATCATTCACTGTCAAGGTCTTAAATATCAATAGTTTGGAAAATATCGGTGGTTCAAAAACACGGAAATATCGATGGAAATATCGGAAAAATATCGATATCGATAAAAATTGAATAAATCACGGAAATTATGATAAATACATGGAAATTTTTAATGAAACTTTAGAAGAAGTTTATTTAGTCAATCATCTATTATTTTGACATAAAAAATTGGAAGGAAATGCATTGCATAGTGGGTTTGTGTGATTTAAGTTGATTATATTGCGACTTGACAAGCTCTGTAACTTAGAAAATCTGGAGTAATTAATGAAAGAGAATTAAACACCCCTTAGTAATTTATTTATCATTTTTTAGTACAATATTTTACACTTTATAAATTGCATGATAAGATACATGAGTAACCTTATTTCACGTTATTCACTGGACATGGTACACGTTGTTATATCTATTAATTTATCAAAAATTGAAAATAATTAAAGATGTAAACCAACTTGATTTGTCATGAAAATTAGGCACTTTACCATGCTTAAAAAATAATAGTAAAGATTGAAAATTAACTAAGAACATAAATAAATTTATCCAATGAAGAATTAAATAGGAAATAAAGAAAATGATTATAGAAATTTAAGTAATTAAGCAACAATTTATTTCACGTTATTCATTGGACATGGTACACGTTCTTATTTATTATTTATCAAAAATTGAAAAATAATTAAAGATGTAAACCAATTTTATTTTTCATGAAAATTAGGCACTTTACCATGCTTAAAAAATAATAGTGAAGATTGAAAATTAACTAAGAACATAAATAAATTTATCCAAGGAATAATTAAATAGCAAATAATGAAAATGATTATAGAGATTTAAGTAATTAAGCAACAATTTGAAGGAGAATTTAGTAATGTAAGTACTTATAATGAGTAATAAAATAATCAATAACATTAAATGGAATAAATAAAAAATAAATAAATTATATTAAGTAATTAAGTCACATTTACCACTTCCCAAGTACTTTCACGTTTCCCTACCTCCCTCTCCACTTCCCAACGTTTTTTTATTTCCTTTTTTTTGTCTGAACTTCCCAAGGTTGCAGATACATGCAACCTACCTTCCTTCTCTCTTTTGAGCATTCACCCATCTCTCCCTTTTTATTTTATTTATTTATTCTACATTTTCACGTTTCCCTACCTCTCTCTCCCACTTCCCAACGTTTTTTTATTTCCTTTTTTTTGTCTAAACTTCCCAAGGTTGTAGATACATGCAACCTGCCTTCTCTCTCTCTCTTTTGGGCATTCACCCATCTCTCCATTTTTATTTTATTTATTTATTCTACTCTCTCTCTCTCTCTCTCTCTCTCTCTCTCTTCTTCCTCCATCACAATCCAAAATAGTAAAACATAAAGACCCACTCCATACGTTTTTCCCTCTTATTCCCTTCTCTCTCTCGCTCTCCTCTATCTGCTTTATTTTTTTCTTTCTTCTTCTATCTCTCCGTCTCTTTCCCTACTTCCTCTTCCCTCTCTCGCTTCATCACAATCCAAAACAGCAAAATATAAAAACCCACTCCATAATTTATTTTTTTCCTCTTCTTCCCTTCTTTCTCGCTCTCATCTTTTTGTTTTGTTTTGTTTTGTTTTTTTCTGAGTTGAGTTAAGATTGAGTTGAGAGACAGAGAAAGGCTGAGTTTCAAAGGTTGAGGGATTCATCTGAAGGCTGAGTTTAATTTTGTAAGTTCATATCGCGATATTATCGATAATATCGTGATATATTGTCCATTTAAAGCTGCAACTTGAAGGAAAATATCATTATTGAAATATCAGCGAAATTATCGATAAATTGACGATATATATATGGGAATGTGCTAAAATATTTCTACCCCAAAAAAACGATAATTTCGCCGAAATATCGCCGAAGTTATTGAGAAATTATAGAATAATACAGTACTACCACGTCAGTGCATGGTACTCCCACTCAAATATAGCCATGTGTCCATTTTATAAAAGAAATTAATTATTATTTTACAGCTAGACTTTTTACTTTATTAATTCTTAAGTTTTGAAATAAAATTAGAAAAAAGAAAACTTAAACCAAGAAAAACCATGGCAGCCACCCTTCTCTCTTCCTCTTCCTCTCCCCTCTCTTTCTATTCACCACTGCCATCGCCGCTCCTCATGAAGACCATCAACATCCAAACCCAATAATATCATCTTCCTTTATTCCCGTATATATTTATTTTTTTCTAATTCGCTCATGACACCCTACACAATGTTAATTCCACCACCAGCTTCAACCCACTGCCACCTTGAAATATTTTCAGACCCAGATCTATACCCTCAAGAACGAACCAATTTTTAATTATCAAGACTACTCCATTTCATCATCATCAATACCAGTTTAATCCTCCTTCCTCTAAAACACCATGTCTACAATTAGTATCAGGGGTGAAGATAGTGGAAGGAGAGGGGTGACCGTCATAGCAGGTAGTTGGGATTAGGGTTGTTGGGTTAGGAGATAGTTGGCTGTTAGGAAATTCTTTTTATTTTCTATTTTTATTTCAAAAGTTAAGAATTAAACTAAAAAATCCAGCTGTGAAATGATAATTAATTTCTTTTCTAAAATGGACATGTGGCTGTATTTGAATGGGAGTAGTATACGCTGACGTGGTATTACCGTATCATTCTATAATTTCTCGTATAGTGGAGGCGCTCCACATTATTATCAATATATGAGATTGGATTTGAGACGTGGGGGCATATTTCTATTAAAATATAATAAGCAAAAGACTGATAAGAAAAACAAGGGTATAATCTTGGTGACAAAATAAAAAGGCCTCCCTTTTATTTATTATCTCTCAACATTGGAAGGAAACACTGGTCAAGACTCCTGGACGCGGGCCCTGCAAACCCTTGGCTTCTCTCTGTGGATATTGGGATGAAGACATTTACTTTATTAGGCCGCGGCGGTGCTTGCAAGTTTGTAAGTCTGGCACGACCAAGGAGACGTTACAGATTCAGACAGACGTGACTCATTTGCTCTGTATCTGTATCAGCTATGATATGATCTATCCACAACCACAACCTAATAATAAGTGACAAAACATGTTTAGTTACCTTCACAGCGAACACGATTTATTTGCCAACTAATGCAGCAGCACATCTGTACAAGAGAAGACACCAAACAAACATGTTCTCAGTATATAAGCCTATACAGCATTCAGTTTAAAACCATTAAAACATTACTTGCAAAATATGAACAAGAAGCAAATTAGAAGAAACTATCAGCCTAGGGAGGCGGAGGGAACCATCCACATGTTACAGTGTTACAATTTAACCTTGTGATACACAACTTTATCTCTACTGCACCACGGCTACAAGTCTAAACAGGTGCATGATCGAGATCAGCATGAGGATATAGTTTCAAATAGCTCTTATAAACTTTAGCATGAGCAAAATTGGCAGCAATTAGTAAGCAGAGAGGAAATTCAACAAATGATTCATACCTTTCTGAACCTGTTTCGTCAATCCACAGCAAAGGATTTAAGTATGAAACCATAGAAACCAATCAGAACATATGGCAGTAGATATCTCAGCCTTGACGATTGAGTGCATCTGCAATTATGTTTCTACTTTCACTACACAGTACTTCTGCATCATTTCCTTGTATAGACTTATGAATCACAACTTTCACAGATCCAGTATTCAAGATAGCCTCCCTTCCTGGAGGCATGATTTTTCCAGTTCCTATAAGGGTAATGGGCACTACTGGTACCTTGGTCTTTGCTGCAATACTGAAGGCACCTTTCTGCATGTCAACAACACAGTTCAGAAATTTCCTAATTATCTTTATTTAAAGAAAACTACACATAATCAGCAAACAAGGACAAAGAATAGAAAATATCTCACCTTGAAAGAGCCTAATTTTCCATCTTTACTGCGTGTTCCCTCAGGAAAGAAAAAGACAGAGGCCCCCTTCTTGATAAGATCTATGCAACGCTTAAGACACTCCTATATACAGAAGCCAACATATTTTAAAACCATAGTTTAGATAATGATTGCATTTATATACACGGAACAAAAGAAATGGAATACCAATTGACTTTTGCTGTCCATGCGCTTTAAAGGAATTACACCCATCAGAAACATGGCCCACCCAACAATGGGATAGAGAAATATGCTAGTCTTGCTGATAAACTTAAAGGGTCTCCCAATTGTGAGAAGAACATATATGTCTAAAAAGCTCTGGTGGTTGGAAACATATACAGCAGGAGCATCTGGAGGAGGCAAATTCTCCAGTCCCTCAAACTTGATCTTAACAAATGGTGTAACAGTAACAGTGGCCCAAACTTTGGCAATAAACATATGAGCTTTTCTTTTGTATCGATCCAACAACAGAACAAAAGGATGGGCTACCAGCATCAGCACAAAGAGATAAATGGCATTGAAAGCAGTAATGGCATAGAAGCCTATTCCCCTAAATTTTGAGACCGTATTTACTTCTGCACTTCAAAAAAATAACAACAGGTCAGTCAATTAGATTTATAAGGCTGCTAACAGAAGGAAGTAACAACAGAATAACAGTAGTTAGAGAAACCTGGCAATGGATAGTCAGCACCAGCGCTCCCAGCTTCAGTAAGTCCAGATCGTCCAACTGCATACCTGGACAACCTATGCTGGGTATGCAATCTAATATCATAATTTGGTCTTCCAAAGTCCTCTTTTGCATCAATGTTGCACCGTGACATGCCACCATGCTTCCTTTGAATGCATAAAACACTACGACAAGCAACTGAGGGGAAAAAAGAGGCATCATAACCAGATCTAAAAGACAGGACAAAAGAGTAAATGAATCTGCAAGGGAGAAGGAAGAAGCTCATATAGTCCATTCAAACATCCATCTCAAAACATGTGCCTTTAAATCCAGACATCAGCTATATATGCATGGTTTGATGTTGATACAATAGAATGAATAACAAAAATAAATAGATTTGTCACAATATTAGCCATAGAAGATGATTCCACAATCCACACACTATCTCATATTGTCTTGGATTTCTTTGAAATAGTTGTGTAGATCATACATAATCCTCATGGCTAATAGGCAAAAACCGAGAATTTTGCATAAGATTGTAAAGGTAAATTACATAACAAGACAGCACTCAATCATGCACGTATTTGGACTTGGAGCAAAAATCAGGTGAGATACTAAGCTAAGAAAGCCTATACTTACATTTACTTAAATTTGCCAAAATCGGCCATCTGCATGGAGAGCACCCAATCGAGAGTCCCTTGTAAGTGAATGGCTGCATTATGAAGAAAATGTCAAAGCAATTACACCAGCAATGGACGGAAGAGGGCAGTGGGTTTGGTGCTTCTTCTACCAACGATGGTAGGCGAAGGGATCAAATTAAAAACCATAAAGGGCTACTGCCACATAAATACACCAAAGCCTTTACCAAAGTTGTGATGATGCTAAGTGTGTGTAGCCTGCTGAATTGGTATTCATTGCCCATAATTCAAAATGCATTATATCATATAGACATCAAACTACTAATTCCTCAACTTGATTAAAAATGCAAACTTTTCTTTTCCCGTAAGTCAAACAGATTTGAATCAAAGGAAGACAGCTAGAGAAAATGGGATAAATTATAAATAAATAAATAAAGGTATAGAAGAACTACCGGCAACAAAGACGATGTTGAAGCAAACCTCGATTGCCTGTGACCTGATACGTTGAAGTAACCACAGAGTGTGTCAGCCCAAATTTTAATTCTTGTCCGCAATTATAAAAAGATAAATAAATAAAAAGAGAAGGATGAGATATACAGAGTACAGCATGGGAAGGTTGAAAAGTGACTTCCATGGAGGTTCAAAGAAAAGGTTTTTGAGAATTGAGTCAGGGTGAATTGTACGGGGATTAGGGTTTATAGTCCTGGGATGGGAGCACATCAGTCACGTGCAGTGAGAAATTCAAGGCATACCCCTTATCCTTGATTAGTTTATTATTCTAATATTGGGTTTTTCTGGGTGTTCTTGTGCTTATGAATTTGCAAAACGAAAGTGATTGTCTTTGTTGGTGTTGGATGTATCGGGGTGGGGCTGCTTGTGAATCGTGATAGGGTGAGACCGCCAAAGCCACAAGCTTCTTCTTTCCTTCTCTGCTCCTTTCCGCTCTAAATCTATTCTAATCTACTGCTAAAATCCAGTTAGACAGCTTAGACTTGGTAAAAAAAAGAGAAAAGGAATATTTACATTATGCTCCATCTGTTAACACGTTCCGGGAAAAATCAGTGGATACTTGAAAACTTGGGGTTTTTTCTTTTTTCTTTCACATTTCTGTTTTGCTTTTTGTTTTTATTATGCAATTTTGCATTTCTGGTTTGTTTTTATTTTCATTATGCAATTTTGTTTTCCAAATGCCTTGTTTCACAAACTTGTTCTCAGAATGAAATTATTATTTGCAGGGTGATGGTTACTACAAATGGACTTGATGCCAGTAGTTGCTCATGCACATGAATACATTTGACAATCCTTTGTAATATATTGGAGACCAACAAGATACAAGAGCATGACCAACATCTTATTTGCTCCAGCCAGTCATATAAAAGCATTACAAGTAAAAAGAGAACCCCAACAATTTTTCTTTTAAAATAAAAAAAACAAAAGAAAATACCTCCACAAATATAATGTAATAATGATATAAGGCATGACAATTTGTTCTTTTTGTTGTTAAAACAGAGTAAGCTGAAGTTGATATTTATGAAGTTAATTGGTAATCTATTTGCGGGGGTGAGTGTTTTCTGGATGGGAAAATCCGGTGGCAACTTTGGCAACGTCTAAAGCAGATGCCTCCGGCTTCTTCTTGGTATATAAGGTGAAATAACCAATGGTGAAAATTACGGCAAAGCCACCAAGAGCCATTCTCATTGGGCAGAAAGACACCTTTGACGTCTGATGGAGTACCTCCGTTGAATGCTGCGCCGGTGACGGACCCTTCATCCCCTGTGCGCCTGCAGCAGCCTTCACTTGTGGTCCTGCCATTGCTTTGAATTCTCTCTAGCTTGAGTCTGCCTCTTGCAAAGTAAAACTATGTCCCTTGCTTTCTCTGTCTCTTTGTTCATCCAGACATATGTCTTTTTCTTTTGCGGGTGTCTGTCCCTGTGCTGAGGTGGTTATGAACGCTTGTGGGCAGAATAAAGTGGGGGATCTGAGGTTGCTGAAAGAAATAGAATGCATACAAGTGTAAGAAGTTATGGCGTTAACCCATTAGGACTTTTTCCATGCAGCAGCAATAGGATTGCTCCATGCATGTGGCCTTAATTACCCCATAACCACTTTTTAAGACCCTGCCTGCGAAACGAAAATATTAAATATATCAAAATTTTCATTCCATATTCGGAGCTCAAGGGGCAATATTGCTGCTTATCTGCATTCTCAGCTAGGTGCATTTTCCTAGCTTTTGAAGCACCTCACCTATCAATTCATGTGGAAGAATCAAGGCCAATAGATTAATTGAACAGATAGTACAATCCAAATGGCCTCCATGCCAACCTCTTGCAGTCTCATTTGAGTGTGAGCCAGAGGTTTAGAGAATTGAGCAGTGTGGAGTATGGCCTTCCCTGAAAGAGGGGTAGCACACGAGTGTTGAACTTGCTGCATTATCCTGCAGGCTGTGAGTCATCTATACACAAGGCGACCAAAGCACAGCGAAACACTAAACTAAGATCCAAAAGACAGAACAACACATAACAAAACCAAATTATAAAGAAGCTGCACAGCAGCACAGAAGTATAAAGTAACACATCAGCCATACATACGAGGAAACCAGAAAATGCCCCCGGACGGAGAACAGCTGAGAGGAGCAGCATAAAATTATAAATTAAAAAAACCCCACAAGTATAGAAAAACACACTGCAAGGGCACGGTATGCAGCAACCGAAGAGAACCCAGCACCCCAAAAAAAATTGTAAAGCCAAACAGACAATCAAGCAGAGCAAAACTCCACTCCATGAAAAACTGCAAGATTGAACTTTAACTGCAAAGACCTGATTCTAGCTTTTTGTTCAAGCGACACGGTAAGATAGTGATTGTTACATTTGATGAGATTTTTCCTCAGGTCAAAGAGGAAGGGTGACTGAATTACTCTTCTTTGGAGGTCTCAAAAAATGGTTAGGTGATAAAAGGATGTTTTAGATCAATTTTCATTGTTTTGGGATAGAAAAAAGCAAGGTAATATGTACAAACAAATTATCTGCAATAATTTTTCCCAGCACTCAATTCCAATATTCTACGTACAATTTACATTGTACTGAAAAGAAGAGGGGGCAAAGATCAACTCATCTCATCAAACTACCATTTCAGCTTCTTTAATGGTGGAGGGAATTCCAACATCCAACCTCATGGTTGGTCTGTATTCTTCTGGCACAGCAGCACCCGCCTGAATGCACATTTCAACAACAGCAGGGGCTTGCCCATAGAAGTTCCTGAGCTCCCTTTCCATTGGTGGTCCATTTACATCTGGAACATGCCACACATATCTTGGTGGTATCAAGTCATTGAGCACTGCCGCCTGCCAACCATGTTGCCCATTTCGTTGTTGGTGTTTGAAGGCTCCACAGTTCTGAGCCTTGTGCCCACTGGGACCCACATGAACCTCAGGGCAATACCCACAAACCCTCACCAGATACATCTTCATTAGCTTCTTGGCTCCTCTCCTCATCTGGTCCCATGCTCGTAGTGTTTCCTCAGCAAGCAAGGTTGTTTCTTCTTCATCTGATGGGGCTACTATCTCTGAATCGGGTATTTCAGTCAAGACGGGTCTCTTGGGTCCTTCAGTGTCAGTGTCTGGTAGCTCACTTTCATCTGCATCAACAAATTCACTTTTTGAAATGCGGATGATTGGCTTTCTTCTCCTTTTAGTGGGATATTCTGGGACATCAACCCCAGCTTGGATGCAAAGCTCAACTATTGCTGGAATTCTAGGAATTGAGAATCTCTCCTCATGAGGAATGCGTCTTCCAAGGCGATCATAGAGGTGGAAAGCTTCAACTGGTAAGAATACGTCATCAACGGTCGCATTTGTTATCCACTCATGAAGACCCTTACGAATGTTAGCATTTGCACCTTTACATGATTTGAACGGATGCCCAACAGGCCCCACATGAATTTCATTACAGAACCTGCACACGAGTTCAGTGATTAATGAAAGGAGCAAAACTTAATTTCCATTTAATTATGCAAGTTCCTTTCCAACAAAGTTCCTAAAGGTAACACCAACCTGCAAGCTTGCACAGGCACCACCTTTAACAGCTTCTTCAAATTATTGATCAATGTAATTCTTGCATTGAAGACGTCATAGGCAACTGGGATAAGGGTCTTGACAAGCAAGCCATTCTTAGGAGGAGGAACTGGTGTTTTAGGCTTGCCCTTCCTGCTCTTAAGCCTTTCCCTGGCAGCCCGCCTCAAGTCCACAATGGGTACTGGAAAGGGCTTCTTCTCCTTTTTCGAATAGTATTTCGGAAAGTCAGAATTTTGAGGATGATCTGTCCTCACCACCAATGCTTGCGATTGGGAAGTTCTTGACTTCAATGAAAGCTTCAGTACATTGCAACCATGCTCCAACAAATAAATTTAATCAATTAAAATCACAGTACTAAATTTACGCAATCTTCAATTGAATAGTAGTGAGAATGAATGTCAGCTTACCTGAAATCGAAAAGAATCAATGGAAGTAAGAGCAGGGTAAACGTGGAGATTCAGAAATTCTGATTTTCCATTGAAGGAAGCCTGCAAGGTCCCAACTTTGGGACGAAAGTCCATTCCTTTACCACAGAACAAAGCTATAGTGCCATGTGAGAAATAATGAGAGCTGCTATTCATCTCTGAGACCAAGTGCTTTCGCAGCAAACATAACAGTCGAAGAGAGTGTTTCGACCATAGCTTTGTTTGTGATATGGTTTCCTTCCTCTTCTGCAAGTCACAAACCAAAATAATGCGACACCGTTTCGTCAAAAAAGAAAAACCATTTTGTACAGTATAGCTGATCGGCTATAAAATTAAATATTCGAATATATTTAAATAGTATCGCCGTGCGGCTGTACTATTAAAATATTCGAATATATTTTAACCGTATAGCCGAACGGCTTTACTATTAAAATATTCGAAGATATTAAAAACGTATCGTCGCGCGGCTATACTGTCAAATTTTTCTTATACATTTACAGAGTATCGCCGAGCGGCTATATGCTTTAAATATTAATATATTTTTTACGTATAGCCGCCCGGCCATACTATTAAATATTCAAATATATTTAAATATTATAGCCGCGGGCCTATACTATTAAAATATTGGTATACCTTTACAGAGTATAGCCGCTCGGCTATACACTTTAAAAATATTTTATACTATACTATTTCAATTTCAATTAAAGTAAATATAAATAAATAAATAAGAAATAAAGGAACTGTGGATTCTTGCACAACCCATTTTCATGTATGTTATGGCTTAAGTAGTTTTGTCGAGACGTCTAGGTCAAAAACCTACGGCAAAAAACACTTGTTATTTAGTTATTTAAATTAAAAAAATTCTCCTTTCCTCATCTCATTAAGTTCTCTGATACAACACGTAAACGCTCTAATTTTAATGATTATTTTATGATCCTATCTTTTCTTTTAACTTTGACTTTTTATTACGACCAATTTTATTGTTTTATTGTTCGACAAAAGGTTCATTTATATACAATAATCGGATTGTAGCGGGTATAGTTTAGTGGTAAAAGTGTGATTCGTTCTATAATCCCTTAATAGTTAAGGGGTCTTTCGGTTTGATTAATATTCCATTCCGATCAAAAACTTTATTTCTTAAAAGGATTTAATCCTTTACCTCTCAATGAAAAATTCGAGGAATAATATACATTCTCGTGATTTGTATCCAAGAATCAATGAAAAGTTGAAAATTGGATTATGAGATTACGAAACATAATTTTTTTTATTGGATCAATACTTCTATTCTAAATGGATAAGTTCTAAATTTATAAGTATAAATAAAGGATCCATGGATAAAGATAGAGGGTGTATTTCTAATCGTAACTAAATCTTTAATTTAGAATTTGTATGTAGGTAAATTGAAGCAAAATAGCTATTAAACAATGACTTTGGTTTACTAGAGACATTGACAAATTGTTTTAGCTCGGTGGAAACAAAATGCTTTTCCTAAGGATTCTCTCAAATAGAAATAGAGATCTATGAGCGGCTATGCTCTTTAAATATTAATATATTTTAAAGTATAGCCGCGCGGCGATACTCTTTAAATATTCAACTGCTCTACTAACCGAATGGTAGATAATGGAGAAGATGAACCAAATTCATAGGTGGACCGTGGATCGCTAAGCAAAATAAAGTATTGGATCTTAACAATAATGATAATGGATTTGCTGCGTCCTTTCAGGACCAGGAAGGAAGTGGAAAGCGAAGGGAACAAAATAGTATCGTGAAGGTGACGGCTACTACTAAAATACCTTTTTACAGGACAAAAAGGAGTGATTTTTGCTAAACCCTTCTCTCTCTCTCTGCAAGTTCATTGCCTCCAAATCTAAACCTTTATCAGAGACACAGGACAGAACACAAAGGAGAGGCAGATAGAGAGGGAGAGAGAAGCCATGGAAAGGCTTCTGTTCTCTTCCTCCCCAACCCCTTTGAAACTCCATGTAAAACCCTCACCTTTTCTCCCTCCACTCGCTCGTATTGCCTCGGCCAAACTCAACTTTCCCGCTTTCCAACTGCCCAATCTCAGACGGGTCAGCTTGGTTTCCTGCAAACATCAAAACTCATCTCCAATTTTTTCTTCTTCTCCTTCTTCATCAGCGCCATCCAACATTTTACCGGCTCTCTCGCCGAACCGGCCGGAGTTGCCAAATCCGCAGATTATCAAGAAGATTGCAAATGGGGCTTCTACCCAACGCAAGGTAATACACATCTCTTGTTTTAAATGACAGAAAATTGATAAAAGATATGACTTTGATTAATTTTATGTTGTGGGGTTTCTTTGTTGTTATTGCTACAATCATGTGTTGAAATGTAAACAATTGGTTTGATGAGTGATGAAATGTTGGTTATTTTCCACGGAGTACTTTCTGATTCGAAATGTTGTCGTTGTCTGATCCAAAATGTAGTTTATTTTGCCCTCTAAAACTTGCATAGTTTTGTAGTTTAGAATATGCAGTTTATTCATACCAGATTGTAATGTCTCATCGTGGACTCTGTGTTAGCAACTGCTTGTCTACTTGGTAGCACCCTCAAAGGAGGTTTAGATCTAATCTTTAAAAGAGAACAGCGGAATGTTAACAGAGAGTCACAGAGCTAATCATGGATTGAAGTAGGACATAGGTTATACTGTGTACACAAGTTTCCGTTATTTCCATCGAAGTTTCGTATTTGGTTCTTGACTACTATATCCACAACGACCACTATCAAAATGAGATAGATGGGGCGTCTGCAAATTCCCAGCTACTGTTTCACCTTTTATACGCGACCATTAATCCATTTGTTTTGACCAGATAACTTACTTGTTATATTCTTTTGGTGATCAGGGCCTGATCACCACTGGGGCATTTGTTGTGCTTTCTGCCCTTGTTTTGATCTTAATACAGCCAGCTTGTGCACCAGCGGCTTATGCATCCTTTCAAACTGCAACAAAGACAGGTAGCCCAGCTGCTGCTATCGGGGGAAGACTGATCCAGACTGAATTACTTAGTAGTGCATGGACTGGGTTCTTAGCTGGTTGCTTACACACATTGTCAGGTCCTGACCACTTAGCTGCTTTGGCTCCACTCTCAATTGGACGCACCCGCATTGAAAGTGCTTTAGTTGGAGCCCTCTGGGGATGTGGCCATGACGCTGGCCAGGTTATCTTTGGCTTAATATTTCTACTACTAAAGGATCGGCTTCATATTGAAATTATCCGAACATGGGGCACAAGGGTTGTGGGCATTACTCTACTAGTTATTGGTGCCATGGGCATTAAGGAAGCTTCAGAAGTCTCTAGTCCTTGTGTTGCCTTAGAGAATGGAGAGTGCGATGTTAGTGTATACGAATCTCTAGAAAACCCTACCGTTGGGAAGAAGAAGATTGGTTTTGCTACTTTTGCCACTGGAATTGTCCATGGGCTGCAGCCAGATGCATTGATGATGGTCTTGCCCGCTCTTGCTTTGCCATCTCGCATTGCTGGTGCCGCATTTCTGGTTATGTTTTTAGTTGGGACCGTAGTTGCAATGGGAAGCTATACAGTCTTTCTAGGCTCATGTAGTCAGGCACTAAAGGATAGAGTTCCCAGAATAACAGAGAAACTGACATGGGCTTCTTCCCTGGTTGCAATTGCTCTTGGATCTGCCATAATCATCAGCCAGTTATTCGGGTATAGCCTGTATTAGTATTTTTGAGCGAGTAAAGATTGACATTTCCAGGCTTCTCCACGAGTGTTAGATAAAAGATCTTAGAAGGATTATTCGATTTGTTTAGAGCAAAAGTTCATCTGCTCAGCACCTTTTCTCAGTGAGAGTACCATCTTCTTTTTTCTTCTTTTTTAATTGAAGCTTTTTACAGTTTTAATAGAGGGCAACCCTTCTACAAATGTAATATTTTTACTGTAGAAATCAAGATTGGTTTAACGATTTGCTTTATATTTCATGTTTAATCTTTATCCAGCCAAGTTGATCTATGTTGTTGCACCAGCTGTTCATAGCAGTTATCAACCAGGGGAATGTAAATTCTGCATCCAAACTAGGCTGGTCCATAGTTGGAAGTGCTCAACCTTTTACCGATTTCCAAGTGTCTACCGTGAAATTTGTACTGCCTTTTTCTCTTCAATATACAAACAAACGGATTTTGGAATGATACTTAACATGTGTGAACCTTGAGAATCCACCATTTCAATTACAAGTAAAAAGAAAATAGCCAAGAGAATGACAGAATCCACATTCGAAAAGATAACAATTTCCGGGGATGCATGCTTTAATATTGATGAGAGTCTTGTTTTCCGGCCACTAGTCAGTCAGTGCAACATGCTGACAATGCGTATGAAAATTCAAATAATCATCATTATCATTTCAATTGACAAATCTTTTGCGGAGTTTGGATTCACATCATACACAACTAACTAGAAGAAAGACGCTCGGGAATTAGAGCATGCCGTTTTTTTTTCTTTCTTCCTTTTAAGGTTAAGAAAAATGTAAGAGTATCAAATTTTGTGCTATGGTTCACTCAAAAAAATTTAAAATTAAAATTAAATCAATGAAAGAAAGGGCATTACAATTCTTTCTTCATTTTATGTCTTGCTAAAATAAAGCAATCCCACTCGCGGGTTACACATTTGAACATGAAGAACTGGGCAGCAAAGCTGAATGTTGAATGCAACTCAGGTCATAGAAGTTGATTTGCATTAGGGGCTCTGCTTTTTGTTGATATCATGAAGCACGCACACATCTGCTGCGGTCTTCAACTGAAATCATGAAATGAATTTCAAAACAATCCAGATAGGACGATATTTTTTTTCTTTTGGTCGAACAGATAGGAAGAATTAGATGACTTAAACTTGAAAAAGTTGATTAGCTAGATTAAATTTAAAAGAACATTTGGACGACAAACTACCAAGAAAACTTGGGTAGGACTGACTAAAACTATCAATTTCTTTTAGGGGAACCTCAACTATTTGTCAACACAAAGTAATTCTTCATTTTCAGACAGTAAACAGATAGCCATGGTCTACCTGTATAAGATTGACTGCTTGCTTGACGGCCCATCCAAATAAACTCAAACCAACAAGAACAGAAAGAGGTGTAATATGCTTTGCAAGTCCAGTTAAAACCTGAAACAGGGAAATTCAGAAACAAAAATAATCTGGGAACTTCCTCTTTATATCTTAAAAAACAGCACTTACATCAATCAAGCTCTCAGTTTCGTTCTTTGCAAGAAGAAATAGAATTATATAAAGCACCTGCAGAGTAAATACTCAAATTTAGAGAAGAGTTGCAACTACCACTATTGAAAGATTTCCGTACGTAGATAGGCAAACCAATTTACACTTACCTCACAAGCTACACAACAGTAAGCCATAAACATCCGATTCCCGTAGTATGCTTTAAAAAGCCAATTAGTGCTGTCTTTCACATCCTTGTGACTAGCCTTGCCTAACAGGAAAGTACTGCAAATAAATGAACTAAAGTGTTAACAAAATAAAACTTTCTCAAGGAATAACCCAATTCATCCCATACATAAACCAATTAAAAAGAAAAAGAAAATAACCTGTACATCTGCAGCCAGTGGCTGGCAATATCTAAGGCAAGCAATGAGAGGAAAACCAAGCCAGGCCTGCATTAAAATCCCACCACAAGCTAAGACAAACATGCATGTATAGTTATAGCAACTTGTAGACTATAAATAAAGGGCAGTGATTTTCCTACTCCCCTTTTGTCCACGTACACTCCATTCTGTTTTTTAATACTTCTAACTATAACAAAAAAGGGAGTGTAAGTGAACAAAAGAGTGGGAACATACAATTTCCAACAAAGGGAGTGTAAGTAGACAAAAGCATAGTGGAAAAATCAGCTCCCTAAATAAAATGTCTTACCGGTATACTTGTGAAAGAACTACCAAGAGACACGCAGTGCTTATCCTGAGATACAAGACAATAATCAATACGGTGATTACCAATCTAGCTAAATCATTTCAGCAATACTATGTTTCTTGTGCACGTGCATGCGCATGCACATGCGCATGCGTGGGTGCACATGCACATGTATATTACTGTGGATTAGAGGACTGATGTAGGTTAACTCAGGCTATTCAATTTTGAGGACTGGTGTTGTCTGATGGAATGTTGGCACTGTTTGTCAATGTGGATCTACTGCAGATCCACTGAGATGTATTTTCAGTAACTGCTGTGTATAGTTTAGGTTATTGCAATAAAGTCATTATGAGATTACCTATCTGTCACCATGTCCAAAACAGCTCCAAAGGTTGAAACTGAGCCAGGAAGGGAAACAAAGATGTATTAAGATAATTGAATCAAATATGCAAACCACAAAATTCTTCATTGCTTTCAACAATCAGGAAACTGAAAACAAAGAGAGCACTTCAGTAATGAAATTATTTAACGCTCACTACAATACAGAGGCTTCTACCAATACTATACTGCAATCTCTAAATAAGGAGTACACTAATAAATAATTCATGATGTTTGGAGATCAGTTTTTTTTTAATGTATTTATACCTATATTATCTAGCTCTGCAGAAATGATAACTTGAAAATAATTCAAGTCACACCCACTATGTACAGTGAAAAAGTATGAGTGAGAGTCAGGAAATGTATCCACTTATATAGCTGAAAGGAAAAGTGTTGGTGAAGACCAAATGATACTGATACATTTGTATTGAGAGGATTCTTTTAATGATAATCATTTTGACATTATACAAATCACACTAGGTATCTGTACCGACTTACAACAAGTTGTTTCTATAAACGTATATATGCACAAACAACGCAAACTTCCTATCAAAAAACAAAATTGCAAGCTACAGAAACTCTCATACCTTGATTGAATTTACGAGCACACCAACCATCTACGCCATCACAGACAAAGCTGGAACAGCAAACTTAATCATATATTATACCCAACATAGACATTGAAAAAGATACAGCGCAAAAACTAAGGTTTCATTTGGATTGCGTATTTGAAATGAGAGATTTAGATTTCACGATTCAGTTTAAAGTTTATGTTTAGTAAAGAAAAACTCAAAAAGAGAGAGTTGTCACACTTTTGGTTGTGGATTATTATTATTATTATTATTTAAGTGGTTAAGAGGTGAATACTCATATTTTCTTGAGCATTTGAAACCCACCCTACCCCATTCAAGTATTCAAATTTACATATCGACTCCATCAACCTTAAAATAAACTTTTAAAATCTCATATAAAACGTTACAGTAAATGCAAATCTCTTCTTCTAAATCCACAAGTCCAAACAACATAAATGAATTCTTCAAAAGCATTAATTCTCACCTGACAAAATAGAGAATAGAGAAAAGCTGCTTGTTGGAGAAGCACTGAGCAAATGCAAAACAGTTCATAAGAACCCTTATGTACCCTGCATTCCCAGTAAACATACAATCATTTTGAATAAAACAAAGACATCTTTAGTTGACTGTAGTTCTAAAGTAACTTGCTTTAAGAACATATAACCAAAACAATGAAATACTCACCAATTATATTGGGTATGTATAGGTAGACATCAAGTTTTGTTAACCTTCGTTGTGTTACAGATTTCTTGGCCATTGAAACTTCCTTTTTAAACTTGAATTACATAAAATGCATTGAATTTGCCAATAAATGTTGCCCCTGCACACAAATGTAAATTTTTCTTGCTATAACCCATTACCCATACTCTTGCATGTCTATACGAAGAAGCAACACTAAACAAAAATAAAACAAACAATAATCACACAAAATTAACTTAATGGAGGCATAAGATGGCAATTAGTGGAAAATAAGAACCAAATCTACCTTTTGGAGTCCTCCTTTCACCTCAACAGCGGAGATCGCAATGCAATCACTTCAGGCGCTAACCCTAATACTCTGATTCCCCTTTCTCTCTCTGCAAGCCCTGATTGGAAATGATGGAGCACGATGACTCAGATACGTAGCTTGTTTACATCAACTTAGCATAGGGTTACATTGCGACCCACAACGGCGGAGATCGCAATGTAATCACCTTCTGGGTCTTAGGGTTACATTGCAAGCCCTAAAACCAGAGCTTTCATCGATTAGCATGAACCAGAGCTTTCAATCACATGTAACAAAAAAAGTTCCAAAACAAATCAGATCATACCTCTTCCATAGATTGATCTTCAGCTCGTAGCCCAGTAAACCACCAGAACAGAGGCAATTGGTGACGAAAATGAAGTTAAATATCTGCACATTCGATACAAAATGGGTTAAATTGAACAAATGAACAAAAAATTAAAAAATTAAAAAATTTATAATTAAAAAAAAACCTAATAATCTGCTAAATTAGGGCAAAACAATATTTTTTCTTCCTTTGAAAATTTGAATCAAAACCCATAAATAATCACCTCAGAAATGGAACAGGATTCGACGATTCGTGACTTAAATTGTAACAGAGAGTGAGAGAGAAATCGGGACTGAGGGAGAGGAGAGATTATTCGAGGAAAATGGGACAAGAAAGGAGGGATTATAGGTGTTAGAAGGAATCGGGTGTCTGAAGAAGAGAGAGAGATCAGCGGTGGTGATGGGCGGACGGAGAGAATCGCCGGCGTTTGGATGTTACGGTTCCGGACAAAGTGAGAGAAACGAGAAGAATGGGAAGGGTGTCGAGTGCGGAGACTGAGAGGTTGCGTGGAGAGATGTTACGGTTAGGCTTAGTGAATCGTTCGGGTGTGGACAACCCTATGATAATACATGGATTAAGCATAGAATGAGCGGCACGTTTAATATTATCTGGACACCAAACGCACTGAGAGCAAATCGATGGTAGATTAGCTTAGATCTTGGCCAGCTCGAGGGTTTGATCACACTGTTTGGAAAGAACCTCTCTAGGGCTTCATCCCAATTACTCCTTTGAGCCCTTATTTTTTTCATGCAAGCTTATATAGAAATCGAACTTAAATACTCTCAACAATTTGAGCTAGAACCTTCCATGATAAAAGTGGCCATACAATTATGAATCACACAACGAGAAATCAATTCCTTACTTATCAAGCATGGAATGAAACGCAAGTAAAGCATATATCTAACACAAAGTTTTGGTTTTTCAATTTTATTTTACCATTTCAAATACTTCAGAGACAAAATAAGCACAATCAAAATTTAAAATTTTAGAATCTTATCCTTATGCACAACTTGGGGGGAATGAAAGGCAATTCGATTTCTGTATTAACTTGCTTGTGAAAGGAATTTAATAAATTATTAATATTATGTGTATGGATGCAGTGACCCTGGCTATTAGAGACACAAGGAGGACTTGGTTTTCTTCCAATTTGGCAAAGATCATCGCAGATTTTATTTACCTGTAAAAGAAGGAAAAGAGGCCAAATTGATGTATGAGATATATTGTACATAGAAAGATAAACATTTGAGGGTGGTCAAAATACTCGTCATCAAAAATTGAAATGCACAGCACACCACTCATTGGGAAAGTGAATAGCCGTTTTAGATTTTTATCTTTAAATAAATTGATTTCTTCACATTTACAGCCCCAACCTCAAAATCAAAACCTGACAATGGCCATTTCACTGCTGAAACGTGGCGATCATGAATGGCTTCGGGTCCTCCAAACCCAAGGCCCATACCAAACCTAACGGCTATATATAATAACCCTAGTGGAACCAAAACTCTACAACTGCAACTATCTATCTCTCTCGTGTCTGAAAATTGAATCATAGGAGCATAGCAATGGCTTACTTGAGAATCAGCATTCTAGTATTGTCCCTTGTCTCTCTGTCATTTGCCTTCTCTGAAGCCAAAGAAGTTATCGTTGGAGAAAAATATATTTCTTGGAACGTTGACTCTTCCAAGACCCTGAATGAATGGGTCCAGAAAAAACGTTTCAGAGTTGGCGATCAACTCAGTAATTTCATACCTTTCAATCCCTCTTCTGGCTTCTTTTAAATTTTTATTATTCACGACTCATCATAATTGTATAACATGTATTTTGCCCGCACATATGGATTGTTATTCTAGTTTTTATTATGAAACGGAATTGGAACTTAGAACTTGTGTAGGGATAAATACTCTTAATCATTTATGAGTTTTTTACAATAAACCCCACTTGTTATGTTTGGTTTTCATATATATATTTCTTTCGTTTCATGTACATTAATAATATTTTCAATTCACTTTTTCCATATTATTTTCTGATCCAAATCCTATATATGTATCACTAATTAAGTTTACCACTTGTTATGTATTTATGTAATTTTAATTTTGGTACACAGAATGGAAATCGGACAAGGACAGTGACTCTGTGCTGCAAGTGACAAAGGAAGACTACGAGAGCTGCGAGACATCGAAGCCAATCAAAGCAAATGTGACGGAGATCACGTTGGACCGGGCAGGGCCATTCTACTTCATCAGTGGGGTTAAGGAGCATTGTGACAAAGGCCTCAAGCTCGTTGTGATTGCTAAGCCTCCCATACGTGTGTCTCCCTCACCATCTCCGGCTACCCCTGCAGGGCCAGCTGCATCACCATCCGCTAATGCTGCAGCGGGTCCTGGGTTCAGTTTGAGTAATGGAATTTTGGGCTTTGCAATTGGGCTAGTTGGGATTGCTCTGATTTGATTTGAGAGTGTGAGGGTGAAGGGAGATGTAAACTTGGATTAGTATAATATTGGTAATTTTGAAGTTTCAATTGGCTATAGGGGTTTTCAATATGTACGCTCTCAAATAACCTTTTATTTACATAGCTATTTATTTGCATTATAAAATTCCCTTTATTTTTGAAGTTTTTCAAATTCGTCTCAATCTTTTAGTGTTGATGTTTATTTGTTGGATCAACTACATAAAATAAAAAAAATAAAAAAGCATTGGTCACTTTCCTAATCACCTTCTCTCTTGACAAAAGGGTTATGTGTCATCCACCTAGGACGCCAAGTCATCATTATCTTATTCCTAATGAGAGGTCCAAGAACTCCAAAGCATGAAGATTGAAGAGCACTCTGCAACTCACCTGCACCTCTCAATTAAAAACGTTCCATCTCTATATAGTCAATAAGTCCACTATATCACAAAGTCACCAGTATATCATCACAGTTAAACCAGAAATTTAAAGAGCTCTCTGCTTCTACAGTCAGCATTCTCTCTCAGTTAGCTGCTGACAAGCTTTCATGGTTCAGGTGTGGAACCCAAATGGGAAATACAGAGTTGTCAGCACAAAACCCATGCCTGGAACTCGCTGGATCAATCTCTTAATTGAACAAGACTGCAGAGTTGAAGTAATTCTCTTGTTCTTTCTCATCTTCTTTGATCTTTCTTTTTTTGAGCCATTAGCTATTTGAGTTTGATGAGATAACGTTTATTTTGTGTGTTTAGATATGTACTCGGAAGAAAACAATTCTGTCTGTCGAGGATATCATTGCTCTGATTGGGGATAAGTGTGATGGAGTTATTGGACAGGCAATATGAGTTTGCTTTTCTTCTTCTTCTTCTTTTATTTATTTATTGTTTATAATTTAGATTTTGGATTTAAAGTGGTTGAGTTGTGTTTATGTTTCGGTTTTTCAGTTGACTGAAGACTGGGGAGAGGCTTTGTTCTCAGCACTGAGCAGAGCAGGAGGCAAAGCTTTCAGTAACATGGCTGTTGGCTATAACAATGTTGATGTCAATGCTGCTAACAAGTATGGGGTTGCTGTTGGAAACACTCCTGTAAGTGTTGCACTCTCTCTCTCCATTCTTCTTTTTTCTCTTTTCTTTTTAGTCTCATGGCATCAGTAGTTCAATGCATCTATCTACTATTTCTGTATGGTACATAGAAAAAAATAATACAGGATTCTAGTTTTCTTTTATTTTTGGGAAAATATGGCATATTGAAATGAATTTATTGCTCATATGGTTAGGGAGTACTTACAGAAACTACAGCAGAGCTGGCAGCTTCACTTTCTTTATCAGCTGCTCGAAGAATAGTTGAAGCAGATGAATTTATGAGGGCTGGCTTATATGACGGATGGCTTCCTAATCTGTATGACTATCATATTTGCCATTACTATCAATTATAAATGTCATGTGTCGCCTGCAGCTTGATTTTTCTGTTTTAATGTGGCAGGTTTGTGGGAAACTTGCTCAAAGGGCAGACTGTTGGTGTGATTGGAGCTGGTCGTATAGGTTCTGCATATGCCAGAATGATGGTATTTTCCTTGTCCAAAATGTTAAATCTTAGGCTTGGTTCATCTGACCCTGGTTTCATGATAATGGCTTAGTCTAGTGATTGGCATGCATGGACTTGTTTGTTTGTTTGTTTGTTATATTCACCTGGAGGCTGAAATTACTCAAAACTAATGGACATATTTTAGAGAAATTTTAGTTGGAATGGGGTGATAACATAACTTACCAGGAGCAAGAGGGAGCATAAGAAGATTTCATAAACAGTTGCTACCAGTCCAAGTTGTACTGCAGTTTCCCCTTTTATAATGCAGGCTTGGACAAATGATTTATATATTTTCCATTGTATGACAGATTAAATCTCCTAAATCAACTTCATACTAAATCAGTTCCAATCACAGCACTATGCTTAACTGTTTTTGCACTTTTATTTATTTATTTAAACTTACCTGGTTCAGTTATTGCTCATCATCTTAATTAGTGATTCATTCCAATTAGTGAGATACCGCTGATGGAGCTGAAATTACTGTTGATCTCTAACAGGTTGAAGGTTTCAAGATGAACCTGATTTACTATGACCTGTACCAGGCTACACGGCTAGAAAAGTTTGTTACAGGCATGTCAGTCAGTTTATTGCATAATCTTTCCCAACCCTTTACTGATACCTGTATATGTATGTTCCCGTGTTCCAGCTTATGCTGAGTTCCTAAAAGCCAATGGTGAACAGCCCGTGACTTGGAAAAGAGCAGCAAGCATGGATGAGGTGCTCCGAGAAGCAGATGTCGTATGACTCTCACTCCCCTCAACCGGGCCTATTTTTCTTCCCAAGTTTTCTTACTCTGTTTCTAATGGTGTGGTTATTGATTCTCCTTCCAGATAAGCCTTCACCCAATTCTGGATAAAACCACTTATCATCTGGTCAACAAAGAAAGACTGGCAATTATGAAGAAGGTGAAGTTCGAAAGAACATTCTTATTTGTATAAATCTATGTGAAATATACACGTGTGTATGTACATAGTGTATGCATGTATTTACTAGTTGAACAAATATGCCATATATCTACAGGAAGCAATCCTTGTAAACTGTAGCAGAGGGCCTGTGATTGATGAAGTTGCTCTTGTAGAGCATTTGAAACAAAATCCTATGTTTCGAGTTGGTCTGGATGTGTTTGAGGTAAACAAACGCACCTTCCCTGTCAAATTCCGATCTTCTTTCGGACGGAACATCTCTGACATTTGAGTGGTTCATGAACGGTGTTGTATGTATCAGGATGAGCCTTACATGAAACCTGGGCTTGCTGACTTGAAGAATGCTGTTGTGGTACCTCACATTGCTTCTGCTTCCAAGGTAAATTTTTTATTTTTAGTTTGAACAGTTTATTATAGAACCGAGGAGCTGTCTGATTTGGAGAACGTAAAGAGTAACTGTGTCGCATAATGGTTTTATTATGCAGTGGACTCGTGAAGGAATGGCAACACTGGCTGCTCTCAATGTCCTGGTATGCCACTAAGCGCAACTAATATCATTCAAAAGAATATCTGCATGCACCAGCTTTGGCATGACTGAACTGACAGACACCCTTTGCATTACTATGATACGAATCATGATTTAGGGAAAAATTAAAGGATATCCAGTTTGGTCAGATCCAAACCGGATAGAACCATTCCTCAACGAAAATGTTCCACCTCCAGCTGCCAGTCCTAGCATTGTTAATTCGAAAGCCTTGGGTAAGTGATAATATCTTTCTTCTTTAAAACTCTCTCAACAATATCATTCTCTTTCTTTGCTGAAACTTGTGTTTCACTTTCACTGCAGGTTTACCAGTTTCAAGGCTGTGAGAGCATTGACGTGATGTGAATGGATACACATACCCTGATACAGTTCTCAAGAGTACTAAGTTAACAAAAGTGTTATATTTTAAGGAAGAATGCGGACAAACATGTATCAACTATGTTGTCTTGTCTTGTACAATACTGGCTTCAAAATCCTGTTATATATATATGAGATGAGAGGTTGTTTATTAAGGTTTTCATCTGCATGCACAATTTGGATTTGAACTTGGAATTAGCTGCTCTTATCTGTGTCTTTCTAAGACTCAAGCAACTTTGTTAGGTAGCCATTTGTTTAGAGAGACTGACTGAGCTCACTTTTTGTGCAATTTCAAAACCATTCCATTCTACTTCTTGTATTTGTATTGCCATTCAAGATCAACATTTGTTTTTGGCTTTCTCTGAGCCTGGACTCTCAAAACCTCTGCTGGAGATCAGAATCTCCATGACTAGAATCACCCCTGTTCCTTCTTAGAATACGATAAGCTTCAGAATATAATCAGAAAAGAAAGCGAGAGAGAAGAAATTTGGTATTATAAATTACGACCGAAAGGACAAGCGTTCAACAGGGAGAGCACGATACTGATAATACGAGGTCAAACGAGAGAATTCAACAAATTAAAGGTAGAGCAGCAAACAACATGGTTTGAACGATGAAATTAAGCAGGCTCATTTCAGGAGTGTCTTAACAATTGATTTGACATTCAGCTTCTTCAGGTCTGTGTATGATTGCCCACACCCAACAAACATGACCGGAGCTCCAGATATGTAAACCATCGACAGCGCAGCTCCAACCTACATACATGCATGAATTCAATTATTCACCTAATCTTCTAATCTAATCAATAAAAGAAAAACAAACACACAAATTTATACAATATTCACAAGTGTTTGAGGTTTAAAAGGTTTGTCTACCTTATCGTCAATAGTATCAAACTTAGTGAGCAATATCCCATCTATCAATCTCGGGTTAGACGAAGTTGAGAGGTCCGCTAATTTCTGCAGGAACAGGGAAGGTGGCTTCAGAAACCAGCCATTGAGAGAATAATGATACAACAAACAAACCCTAATTGGACAATACTAGAAAAAAAAACCATGAATATGGAGCTCAAACCTGATTAAACTTTGAAAGCTGATCAACAGCATCATTTCCAACCAGTGCCTCTCCAACAAACAAGACAAGATCAGGATTGTTAAGATTGACCAGCTTTGACAGTGCCCTCATCAACGGTTCATTATCCTGAAAGGCATAATACAGTATATTTTCACATTAGAAAATAATAATAATAATAACAGCAGCAAAACCAGGCTATATAACTTATAGGTCTCAATCCGCAGAAAAAGGAATTTTAACAAGTAAACAGCCTTATTATCCTTCTGTAACAGCAAAAGCAGTGGTAAGATTGAAACAAAAATTGCTAACTAACAGTAGCTTAGCATGTACATCATACAAACAGTAAATGTTTATGTAGATGCTCAACCATTCTGCTAGGAACTAGAAACACAGTACCTGCATTCGACCAGCAGTATCAACAAGAACCACATCAGAACCATTATTCGTGGCCTCCTGTATTGCTTCCTTAGCCACAACTGCAGGATCTTTCTCATAGCCCTTCTCAAAAATAGGGATCTGACATTGAAGGTTGGTCACAAGTTAATTACTAATGTCCGCACGGAAAATAATTATTCTTATCCAATGAACCAGAAGGAAAATGTAAATCCTACAATAATATACCTGAAGTCTACGTGCATGGGTACGCAGCTGCTCAACAGCTCCTGATCGAAATGTATCACAGGCAGCCATCATAACACTGACATTATGCTGCTGAAGCCAATAAGCAACCTGCAAGGTGAATTGGTAAATAAAACCACTAGGTAGAGAGGCATGCCCTAATGTACAAGAAAAGGATTCAGCCCAACCTTAGCCAAATTGGTAGATTTCCCAACTCCATTGACACCAACAAAAACGACGACATACGGCTTCCTTTGTTCCTTGGCAGCATGCACATCCCTCAGTATATCAATAGATCGCCTAGGAGTTAAAATACGAACAAGAGCTTCTTCCATTGCCGCCTGCAGTAAGTTTTACATGCCTGGTATTAGTCTTGTAACATAACATCATTAAAAAATAATAATGGGAGGGCAAACTGGTAGATAAATATTGGAGGAATGAAGAGGACTACATTGACAAACCTGTACAGTAGAAGATATTCTTGTGAACGAAGCCAACTTTTTACCCTCAAGACTAGCTGCCACTGATTCACAAAGCTTCTCAGCTATCTCCTCAGCCTAGGCATGGAACAACACAAAATCATATTAGATGGCTCAATAAGATTTAAAATAACAGTAGCACCAGAAGACGATGCTGAAAAGTACCGTACCATAAATAGAAAGGATTGAATATTACTGATAAAATAAACTCCAGCATAATAATGGAAAAAGAAACGGTACAAGAGCATACCACGTTCTTGGTCATGAGCCTATCCTTGAGAGCTTTCAAAGCTGGTTCCAGGTCAGACCTCTCCAAGTTTGCCTTTCCTGCAATACTGAATACAAGCAAAAAAAAATATATATGAATAAAAATGATGTAACAACCTGTCAGTCTCAAGCAAGAAGATTGTTTCCAAAAGATCAAATTGGTACATCCAAACACCCAATGGAGTCCAACAGCATACAATCTCCTAAAACGCAAGCTACCTTGAATAACACTGTCAAAATACTAAAGATGGTGAAGAGTTAAGGTAAACAGATCTACCTCTGGAACATAGATGAAAACCATCCCTTCTTTTGCTTATCAGGCTTGCTTTCCTTCCCAACTTCCTCTTCCTCTTCCTCTTCAGCCTCACTTTCACTACTGAAATCCTCTTCTTTGTCCATCATACTTTCACCATGATCTGCTGCTACAACCTCAGTGTTGTTATCTCCATTCTCACCCACAGGATCTGTAAAATCCAGTTTTGACTCAGGAGGCGAATCATCCCAAACCCTATTCTTCTTTGTTATCTTCTTTTTTGGCTCTGCCTTGGAGCCGTTGCTATCAACAGTAACTGTTTTCTCTGTCTTCTTCCCACCCTTAGATCTAAGTTTCTGAAGCTTATTTACATCAAAAGCCCCGAGATTGGAACTCGTATTTTCTTTTCCATTAGCAGTACCAAACACATTAGATTCTTTAATATCCACATGATTACCATTGGAGTTCCCATTCTCCAATCTACGGCCTTTCATAGTATCACCATCCCCACCATCACTTGCCAAACCACCTTCATTCTTTTTCTTGTCTCCTCCAAGTCCAGCCTTCTGCACCTGACCTTGCTTCTTACTATTGTTCACAGGCTTACCCACCTGCTTTGACTTCTTTAATTCCTCAGAACGAGCCTCAGCCTCCTTCTTAAGTTGTCGAAAAGTTTCATCGAAATCAGAGTAGCCTGTTCTTTTCGGATCATAAATCCCTGAGAATTCATGCTTTACCATTGCAAGCAGTTCGTCCACATACAATAGATGGAGGATCTTTTGATAAACAGCGACGAATACAAGGCCAAGCTCGTTATGGAAGGTCCATTTGAGGGTGTAAGCGGCCCCAGGGGCATTGTAATCGAAAGAAGCTGCACCAGACCGTTCCTCTAGAAGACAGGATCGGATCAAGGTGTCAATTGGAGATCCTTTAAGAGCATTTCCAAGCTCCTTGCATGTCCAAAGGATTAAACCTCCTCTAGTAAATATGAGTAATTGTTCTAACATCTTCAATTAACTCTAATGCCACTCTGCAATCAAATCCATGAACAAATTCAACAACTGTAGGACTGAAACTTCCAAGTAGCAAATATTTGAAAGACATAAAAGAACGGTACAAATAGCCCAAATGTTAGAACTTAAAAGTCTCAGAACTTCATTGCTATGGATCCAAATACCTACTCCACATAAACAATCATAAAATCTAAGGCTTGCGCAAGAAAATTGTTATGATATTCCCACATTTTCAATTCAGTTTCCACAGTTCCCCAACAATGAAACATATTAAACATATCTAGATTTAAAAAAATTCAAGTAATGAAAACATTTATGAACGGAAGGAACAAAGATAGTTACAACCATTTATTCCCAAAAAAAAAAAAAAAAAAAAAAAAAAAAAAAAAGAAACAATTTAAAATTTTGGATTGAATTCTAAGTTTATGAAAAACTTGTAAATTGTTTACAAAACTATTTCTTGATTGATAGGATACAACCCAAATACAGAAAACACAGAACCTAAAATAAAAAAATAAAAAAATAAAAAAATAAAGAACTCTCAAATCGATGGGTCAATAATTGGGAAATTCGATAATAATACAATTCGCGAAATCGAACAAACCCAAACCATGAAATCTGAAAGATCAAGGGATCTACGAATCAGAAAAACTACGGAAGGAAAGATAAATGAAATCTAATAAAAAGAAAGAGAAAACAGAAGTACAAACATACCTGTCTCTTCTTGGAACTCTGAAACACCCTATGAGAAGATAAATTAAATCTAAAATACAAAAGATGAGGGAAAAAAATTGAAAAAATGGATCGTAGAGAGAAGAGAATTAAATTAGGAATTTTGTGAAAGGTCTGGTTTATATATGGGCATCGTAGAAAGCAAGGGTAATATCGGAAGTCGGGTGTTTTCAGGTTTTCAATTTGACATGCTTCTTGCCTTATTGGACTTTGACTTCTGAGTTGGGGAAGGGTCTTCACTCTTGGACGGTAAAACGAGTAAACCACCATGCATGGAAAGGAACAATTTTGGACAATGCTGGCGATTTTTTAATGCACTTTTTTTTTGTTGGGAATATCAAATCTTGTTTGCCCTTTGTAAGAATAAAACGTGCACACAGTGATTTTCCGAATTTGATAACAAATCTATTCATGAATAGTATTCCCTGACCAAAAAAAACAAAAAAAATCTATTACAATCTTATAGTATTTATATTTTTCCTTTTATTCCTATCCAAATTTTTTAATATATTATACAAAAATAAATAAATAATTGAATGCAAAATCTGTACATCAGTTTGTTGAATTGAATTTTAATGAATCGGTAACAATAAGAAATACGTTGCTCCTTTTAGCATTAGAACTTATAACAGCAAAACAATTGCTGCCCTTGATGATCATGCTAAACATTTTTCTCCAAGTCAATAGGCTACCCAACTTCTCATATGCCAACAAGAAATGAACCACAATATATATATACACACACATGAAGGGGAACAAAATTTGGTGGTGACCCAAACTTTAATACATAACTGTTTGGGCCTAAAATGGACAATAACAAAAGGGCCACAATATAAGGTGGAAGGGCAATCATTGTGATCTATGATGGACAATAATTTTCAATTAGCAGCTAATTAAATTTATTCTCTTATGTAGACGTTTGAGACGTTATTATTGTGAAGAAATCATTGTATAGATGGAGAAAAGCAAGAATGGATAGTAAAAATTGCGCACAATAATAAAAAGCAAGCCAAGCAAACCATACTCTTTCCCAACTCCAAGCAAGCCGGCCAAGCACTACCATTATGATTTTGGTACTTGCTTTGCTGGAAAATCAGGGCAGATTGCAGGCTCGGCCGGTCAATTGAGCGCACTGACATCGTGCTTTTCTTTTCTAATTGGATTTGGGTGCTAAAGTGATCGTGTGTGACAAAGTCCATCGAATGGGAAGCCCAAATTGTGGACCCATACACACGCTTTCCTTTGGATCCACTACAAAAGCAGACCCAACCACATCATGGGCTAAATGAGTGAAGGAAATTCCTTAAATATACTCATATGATTGATTAAATTGTCTCACTCCAAAATACAAAATACCCTTTTTTCTTTTTTCAAACCAACCTTGCACCAAATATACTACCAGATCACCTAACACCAATCGCTTTGGATTTGGAATATCCCCGATGACTTTGATTTTTAGTGGAGGTGGGGGGTGGGGGGGCCCTATTAGATTTATTAGGTCCCCTTGTAAAAAAAGTAGGTTATATGCTATTCATTCATATTGTTAAGGCTTTTAAAGTCAAGCTTAGTTCCCAACCTTTTCCGGTTCAAAGTGGTCATTGACCAAGACTGTATATTTATTTATATATAATGAAAAGACTGTGTGCAGGTGCAGCAAGCAAAGTGGCAGCTTCACGGAGACATGATGAGTGAATGTGAGCAGAATTTAAAACAAGGCAAGAGCATACAAGTTACAACTGCCCAACTGCCCAACTGCTCATATTGAAATGATGCATGCCTCTTGGCCCTCTTCAGTCCATATGCTTATCTACTTATTGAATATGGACAAGAAGAAAAAGGAAAAAGTTGCAGCGGCCAAATATACATACATATATTTGGGTGGGTCAAAGCCGGTGCCGTAGCTGGATCGATCCTGGATGGGTCGTATATATATGGATCCTTCATGAAATAAAATCCAATGGGTCGGTCACGTGTAGCCTTCAATCCAACTGTCGGAAATCACGGGCAGCGCGATCTCATCATCTAAATATAAAACAAGAAGAAATTCAACGACATATACAATAGAACTAGGGTAAGGTAGAGCTAGCTAGCTCAGATATTCTGACACTGACTCCGAGTCGTATGCAAGATATTATACAGCTGGGGGCCTGGGGCCTTGGGATGCGACTTCCCCTCCCCTTGCTTGCTTCCCGTTGCTCCATGTGGTATCAAGTCAACTAACTATTATGTAGATATATATTGGTCAACAAGTGAAGTGTCGGCTGGGCCTTGGCAGTGACACACTATATATATACTATTATAATTGAGTGTTGAGGTCAATGTATTAATTGATGATTAGCCTAATCATAAATGAAATGAGATTATGAGAGCACCCCTTGTCATTTTCAATTGGGTTTGTCTCTCTAATAACATGAAATGAATACAAATTCTTCAGGGACGGTGCACGCAAATTCTCCTATCAATTTGTCTCAGTTCCTATCAATCCGTGCACACAATTACACTAGTAATCAAAAGTTCACACACACACACACATGTACAGTACAGTGGAGTGGACCAAACTATGCAAGGCATGCTGGCTGTATGTACATGTCTGTCTTTAGGCTTTACGAAAAGGAAAAAGGGGAATATTATCTTTGTTGATGGCCAAGTGAATCTTAATATACATACGCATCTTCTTCTTCGCCATTAACTAAAACAAGGTTCAAGTACAATGACAGGTACTTGAGAGTTGAGCCTGCTTTATTCTCCAACTTTTTCAAGCATAAAAAGAAAAGGTCTGCAGAGATTTGGCTATAAGTCAAATCTAACAATGAATTAAGTTTGTATTTATGTAGTGGGTTTAGGAGGAGGAGGAGGAGGATTTGGTGAGCAAAAGTTTGACTATATTATCGCAAGCAAATCACCCAGATCAACTTTGACATCATTAATTCGAGGCCAGTTGAGTGATAAAAATGAAAATAAGCATGCTGGTATATTCTTTTTCTCATGAAAATGAAAATGAAAATGAAAATGAATGTAAGGTGTTTTGACTTGCAGCTAGCCTGAGTGGTTTTAGGTCCAAGAGGATGGAAGAGAGAGAGGGATAGGGACTTGTTGTGTTAGTTTGTGATGATGAGCTCAGGAAGCTCTTTTTGGCTCCAAATTTCAGACCCACTTGTCGTATACCATATCCAACGAATCAAAGACGTATGCAGCCTGCAGGCCAATGTATACCTATAATTATAAATGTATATTATATTATATAGAAAATAGAGTTAGAAAGGTCACAAGAGCAGCAATGCAATGCAACCCCACATATATCTAGATCTATATTTTCGCATCTGTACAAAGCTTGTATCTTTACTGTTTGGACATCGGAGGACCACACACTCACACACTCGACTTGATCACGTTAATTCAGTCAAATAGAGGCTGCATTCGCTCGCTTAGCTTCAAACAAACAAAAATTAAACTTGTATTAGTATTTTGCACACAACAGCCTGCCTGCAGCCTTAATTTAAACGACTCATGATTAACGAGAGTTTATGTATAATATTAGAGTCATCACTATACATAGGAGTCCATTTCTCTATCTTTTAAGAAGTGAATACGGAGCATAATTGTAGTCTGAGTGTTTTCAACTCGTCCCAAATTTTAGTGTCTAGAGAGGGAGCCCAAAGAAGATTAGTGTATAGTCGACTGGAGCTCAAGCGGCTTATAGGCTAGCTCATCAAGTACAATTAACTATAAGTGTTTAAAAGAGCGAGACAGAGAGAGTCTTGTGATGCATTTATGATGGTGTTCTATATGCCATTAACCAAGCACTGATCATCTAGGTTTCAATTGTCTTGTAGGACCAGCTAGCTAGCTGTTCTCTCTCTTCTCTCTAAAATCTGGACACACATGCCCGCACGGAGAGAGAGAGAGAGAGAGAGAGAGCTGGTCCACCATAGCTGGCCAAGTTGCAGTAGTTGTGTAGTAATGTAGCAAAGCAACATATATATCATCAGAGTGGAAGTGGCCACACGCATTGCAGGCTACTTGCATAATTGAAGGCTTCAATATCTGCACCTGCAGCAGCTGAGAGATAATATAGAAAAGAAAGCTATACTCTCAATCCACAGGCGGGCCTTTTGCAAGGCTCAATGGCAATATTATTGCATAGCTTTATGGGAATTTTGTGCTTAGCACTAGCTACTGTAGTTGCAACAATGGCAGTGCCAAAGCAGCAAGAGCTAGATCGAATCTCAGCACTACCGGGACAACCACCAGTGTCTTTCTCGCAGTTTTCTGGTTATGTGACGGTCAACGAGCATCACGGCCGAGCTCTCTTTTACTGGTTGACTGAAGCTGCTACTGTTTCTCCTCACAACAAACCCCTCGTTCTCTGGCTCAACGGAGGTCAGTTTAATAAATTATTTATTTAATTCCTACCTTCAATATCTATCTATCTCAAGATCTCTGACTTCCTAATTAATTAATTACCACGAGTGAATTACTCACATTGTATATCTATCATTTTCTTAATTTTTATTTATTTATTTATATTTGTACTGGAAAATTTAACAAACTATCAGTCTATCAACTCCTCATTAAAGCATTTAATATTGTGTTTTCTTCTCCGTATCTGCGCATGCCGCAGACTTCTGTGCTCAAGAAACCAGAAAAGGGGGCCTTGATGTGTAGTTAATTTATTAGAGCATAAATTGTGTCACTATTGAGTGTTATACTTACATGGGTTGGTCATTGATGCCAAAATGATGAGCAAACTATTTTTGCTTCTTAATAAATGACTGGAGACTCATAAATTAAGTCCACCTACTCTCACACGTGTTGCCACACATATTTGCCACAAAACAAACAATAGCCTTCCCCTTACAACCAAGTTCTAATTAATAGGCTCATAAGTTTTTTTACTTGCGTGAATCGGTAATAACGCTGTCAATCACGATATGTGACACGCAATAACTAGAACGATAGCCCCGTTTCACACAAACAATAGCAGTTTATAATTAATTGGGGATAGCCCCGTTTCACACAAACGTTTCTGGAGAGCCATAGCTAGAGCGAGACCAAATGGGTAGCTATCGCATCCATTACATGAGACTGAGCATCGCATTCGCATGCACCAAAAGAAAATTCCACACCATACCCGCATGGGTCCTTGTGATCTCCCTCTGTCTCTATCCTTTTTAGGGTTTTATTCCTTTTCAAACTGACCTTCATTCTCTCTTTGAAATAGTCCTATGGCCAGTAACTCAAAAAGCCTCTGCCTATGCAATCTTTTGTCACTTTTCGTTCTTTGTCGTTCGTGTATGGTTGTTTGGGTAAGCACCATACACCAAACGCCACAACAAACTAAAGTGAACCAACCAACTTTTCCACTTAAACTCTACACACTAGTCGAATTCCTGATTGTCCATGTGAGAAAGAAATGCATCTCTGTCTGACTCACTGTCTCTCTATCTTTCACGCGTGCTTATGTCATGAGAAAGTGGCGACGACTAATTATAATGATATGTGGTGGTGGTGTTATTGAGTTCTGCTGTTCTCAAACTTGGGTTTAATTTAAATAATACAGGCTCAAATTTAAATTGAAAAATAGTTAGTAAGTTGGATTAGCAAAGTATTGAAAATTAAATTGTTTTGAAATATCAATCATCAATCATATACTTGCCGTTCAGGACCAGGTTGCTCATCAGTGGCATATGGAGCATCAGAGGAACTTGGTCCATTTCGGATTAATACGACCGGCTCATCTCTTTATCTCAACAAGTATTCATGGAACAGAGGTACATACATGAGAGACCCCGTTTCTCTTTTCTTTCCTTTTCTTGTGTTGTGGGCAAATGCTCTCTTCTCTAAATCAACCATACGCTGTTTCTTCGTGTTGTATGACGTATATATCACATACTTATTTCGATATTGGTTGCCAACTTTTTGTGAGTTTGACACATGATAAGGAGGGAAGTATTTTCCGACTTATTTTACAACTTTTGTATAAATTTCCATTGTTGTCAATGTCATTGCAGAAGCGAATATTCTGTTTCTTGAATCACCTGCTGGTGTCGGTTTCTCATATACAAATACAAGCAGTAACCTTAAAGATTCTGGGGACAAAAGAACAGGTAAAAAGAATCACAACAGCACCGTTAATTACCCTATAATCAATTCAATATATACATTATATTTTAAATATCTGAATCATCACCCTCTTCTGCCATATATACTTTTGATACACAGCTCAGGATGCTCTAATATTTCTACTTAAGTGGCTGTCAAGGTTTCCTCAATACAAATATAGAGAATTCTACATTGCTGGGGAGAGCTATGCAGGTAAACAATGGAAGGGAAAGGGAGTTCTTTCTTTACATCACCAATGTTAAATCCCCATTTCATTTTGTACAAAACTACAAAGCTATAATTTACAACTTGACTAGTTTTACATGTACAGGCCATTATGTTCCTCAGTTGGCTAGGGAAATTGTCACTTACAACCAAGGGAATTCCCATTCCAGCATTAATCTCAAGGGGATTATTGTAAGTTGACAACTAGAACACTAAAGAAAATTCCAACTTTTAATCACAACTAGAATAATTATAATTTATTTCTGTGATCATAATTTGAGCTTTTTTCATTCGCAACAACTGTGTAGGTGGGTAACGCTGTAACAGATAATTACTATGATAGCATGGGAACTGTCACGTTTTGGTGGAGCCATGCCATGATATCAGATCACACGTACCGATCAATCCTCAACCATTGCAATTTCACAGCAGAAAGACCATCACAGCAATGTGATGATGCTGTAAATTATGCCATGAACCATGATTTTGGAGATATTGATCAGTACAGCATTTATACACCATTTTGCTTGACAATGCTCAACAACACCAACAGGCATCTGAGGCTCAAAAACACTCTTCTTCGCCGGCGTGTTTCCGGGTACGATCCATGCACTGAGAATTATGCAGAGAAATACTATAACCGGCCGGATGTGCAGAAGGCAATGCATGCAAACATTACTCGAATTCCGTACAAGTGGACTGCTTGCAGGTTTTTAAGTTCCCAATCCAATCTCAGTATGAAAAGTTGTTAAGAACATCTGTCTGTCTGATACAAATTTTCTAATTAAATTTTGTTCGGGGGGGCAGTGATGTTCTTATCAAGAATTGGAAGGATTCTGAAGATTCCATGCTGCCAACATACAAGCAGCTTATAAAAGCTGGTCTGAAAATCTGGGTTTTCAGGTAACTCTCAACTTCTTTGCATTCTCAATCAATTGCTTGCATAACAAGAGGAATAATATTTCTTAATTAATGAAGAAACAGAAACAGCAATTTATGCTATTGATTGTTTTTACCTTTTCATGCAGTGGGGACACAGATTCAGTCGTTCCAGTGACTGCCACTCGGTTTGCCCTCAATCATCTCAACCTTACTATCAAAACCCCGTGGTATCCTTGGTACACTGGAGGCCAGGTATTTTCTGCCATTTTACCCCGTGAACTATCACACTAATCGAACTTAATCCCATGAATTACTTAAACAATGACTTAGCAACATCCTCAACAATTTTTACAATCACATTCTATTCTATTGTGCAGATTAAATTGTCAATAAAGGTTTTTTTTTTCCTTTGTTTTTTTCTTCATAGGTAGGAGGATGGACAGAAGTGTACGATGGCTTGACCTTTGCAACTGTACGAGGAGCCGGACATGAGGTTCCCCTGTTTCAGCCTAACAGAGCTTTCATTATTTTCAAATCATTTTTAGCAGGAAAAAAGTTGCCAAAACGTAACTGACAGCTTAACCAGAAATACACATCATACATATATTTGCCAAGTTCCCACACCACACAAACAAATCAAGGGTGATGATCAGGGGGCAGCTAGATTAGGAAGCATTCATTCAAATTAGGGAGCATTCGTATTTTGATGGCAATGTAATTCATTTAACATCATGATATTTTGAACATGCTGCTGTTATATTACTTCTAAGTTCTACAATGCAAAGCATAATAAAATCAAAGGTATTTTTTGGACAGCAACATGCATATCAGATTCTTAGTACTTTACTTCAAGAATCCATTTTCATGTTGCCCATTGTTTGCATTTTGCCACAGCTCAGGTGAAAGTGAAACTTATGAACAACAGTTAAACAGATCACCGTATTTTATCCTCCTCAGTCTCTATTTTTATTTTTTTCGACTATAGAGGTGATAGGAAGATAAACATCAGGTTGTTTAGTAAACAGCCAGCACAAAGGCCACAGATTCTAAAGCTTCACTTTAATTAGAATTTCATATGACGATAAACGAGCCTTTGTGAACAAAATTGTCCATCTTACACAACTTACTAGTATACATATAAGTAACATCACTTAGATTCCTCACTGAGGAGTGAGTCCTTGCGGCATTCCTACACTCTGGGCAAGATTGCTCATCCTTTCCTTCATAGCCTGACGACAAAAGAAGAATTTCATTTTGGTATGCCCAAAATGGATGAAGTGCAGAGGAAAATAAACATACTAAAAAGAAAGGATTTCTCACCTGGACACTCTTCTGGTGTGCATCCTTGTATGCCTCAGTAATTAAAAGCGAAAGTTTCTGCATTAAAATGAAAAGTTAAACATATAAATGTGTTCTTATCAAACATTCATATCAGTTTCGTGGGATCACTACAACTAAGCCGAAAAAATAGCATATGCAAACATTTCCCACCATTGGTTTCAAAATACGTACACACTCAAGTATGACCCCATAATTTCATAATAAACAGTTATTCATCCAATTTATCCAGTTTTTTACCTGATGCATCCTTCCATCACAAATAACAGATATCCAAATTTCCACCTTTCATCCCAATGTTCTCCAAAAGAGGCCATATTTCCAGTCAATTCAGCCACTTTTTCATACCTTAAAATTTTCATCTATCGAACCAGGGATTCTCAAATCACACCTGATATCTTCCAAATTGTCAACAAGACAGTTATGTGTGGGTCATCAGATAAGGGCAGTATTGTGGAAAATCAAGAGAAAGTGCCGACAAAAATTTGTGTACATAAAAATTATGGAAATATTTAGTCTCAAAGTGAACTAGAATTTTATCTGTCATAGATAAGAAGCACAATGGAAAGATAGTTTTCATATCATCTGATAGTATTACTCACTTCTGGTCCTAATTCCATTGCAGCCTTAGTAATCTCCGTGCGAACAGGTTGCTGGTTCCCAGACAGAGTAACCTAAAGAGTAACCTCAGTTAGAAACTTTTGCAAAACTTAAGTTGGGAACTTATGCGACCCAAATAAAGTCTCGAGCAAATCATGAATCATTTTCTGTTATGATTAAATAAAAGAGCGGAATTTCAAGAGTTGAGACAGAGCTGAAGAAACAAATATGCAATGAGATGTCCATGAACAATATAGTCATCCACTGGTAGCTTTAGTGAACCACTCTTTCCCCTTTTTAGCCACTCTCAAAAGCATTGTAGAAGAGAACTATCAGAGGAGAAATATCTTTTTCTTAAACCCAAAGTAAAGTGAAAATTCCATATTTGTATGTCATTTCATCAAGGCAAAGTTTTCACAAAGCTAATACAAATACTTGAGCTCGCTTAAAGGATCTTCGCCATTAAATACCCAAAGGGAAGAGAAGGAGAGAGAGAGAGAGAGCTTTATTAACTCCCCTTCGCAGTAACCATCAAACTTTGCTCTGCATTACAGCACAACAAAATTGGGGAAAAAACTGAGGATTTCATACACAAGGAAAAATGTATGTTGACAGTGTATTTCATAATTACTCATACACAGCAAGTTCTTTTTGCACCCGCACTGCTTCAACTTGGACAACCATTTGTGCCTTCTTCACAGTCTCATATAGATTTTGCATGTTTCCAAGAACTCCTGCCTAAAATCAATTAGCATGATTAAAGTTAATGTTTAATTAACAGATGATGGGAGTATGAAACTGGCATCATAATTACATACATATTTAGAATTACAGAAAATATAACCAAAATACTGGAACCAACTAACAGGCACACCCACATGTTACACTCATGTATAACTAGAGATGTTGATTGAATTAAACGCATAAAGTGCAGCCTTCTATGGGGTAAGATGATGCATCAGAATCATAAGAAAACAGTGGCTGTTCTTTGCAGTTTATTCCATATGTTCAGTAATCAACCTCCATGTGTGCTTGGGGTTGAGAAAAGTTGGCTAAGTTGTAAGTTAAAATAGGAGGTTATGTTTAGTTAGTTGAGCTAAAAGGTTGCTACGAAAAAACCTTCCTTTATGTTAAAAATATATACAACTTTGACTGGATAGACCAAAAAGCAAACTTGATCCCAGATTACTTGACTATATATACACAAAAAGCAAAGACTAACCTTTGAAGGCGCATCATCACTGTTCTCATCATTTTCTTTCTTTCCGCCAAAAAGACCATTAACAAGGACAGATCTCTGAATATGCCCAAAGTGTCGGTAACCAGAATGAGATAAGCTCTGTAAATTTGTCTTTGAACTTAAGTTATCTGTAAAAGTTCCCAGGAGGAGAAGAGTAAGAACCAACAGATGTAAGATCATAAACAAGATACTAACAAGCAAACAGCAGAACGAAGAAACATATGCCAAAATTCTCTAGGCCTATGACATTCTAAGAAATAAAAAATTTCAAATCCTTTTCTAATCAGTGTAATCGGTGAAATGCTTCTCATTTCACTCATGAGTAAAAATATGAACATCATACTATAATACCCATAAATAATAAATAAATAAAATTATAAATTACCCATCTTTCACACACACAGCTTATAGAGTTGACAAATTTCCGCGGGAGATAAACTGAAAAAACAAAAATTCTAAATAGTTGCCTTTTCTACGTAACTTGGAAACATAAACAACAACATTTCGTATCCTACAGATTTTCTTGATCAATCTCCTACTTTTCTTAGCAACCAAACACATAAATTATATACAGAGAGAGAGAGAGAGAGACTTACAGCGGGAGAGTGAGAAGGTGGTACAGAGAAATCGTCGACGCCATTGCTTGCCTGGTACCAACCAAGCGACAGAGAGATAAAGTCGAGGTATTTCTTTGATGTGGCTTCACGACGAGTTGAACTGGTTTTGATGACGGTCCAGTGGAGGGAAAACACGTGTAGTGGGATTGGAGGGCTTTTTGCTTCTCTCTGGTATTTTCTTTTTAACTTTTTAGTTGTTACTTAAACAGTCTGATCCATTTCATGTTTGAATCCCCCATAAAAATATCTTACCATTAACTTTTCACGCAAACGAGCGGAAGCTTGTAAATCAACATTGAAGGAGATGACGATGTCAACGGGTGGTGGTGGCTTGACTTGTCCAAATCCAACCCAAAAAGTCCGTGGGCATGGTCATGCTCATGTTGAACGTTTTCGGCAGTTTCCTCTTTAAATTTTTGTGGTTTCCTTCTTTCCTGCATAATAAAGTAAAGACTGTTTCTCAAATTTATCTCCTTTATACTGTTTGTTTGTCATGGATCAACAACAAGCGATGCCATTTGATTCCTGTTTGGATTTCACACCTTGACCTTTTGGCTTTTGCAGCTAAACCCAAATGCAAGCAATTGCCACCAAATTACTCAAAAACCCTCAGATTAGACCTGCTGTATATTTATGTGTGTACAGTACAGAAATTCTACCAGGACCAGGCCTTTGAGCCCATGAAAAGAAAGAAGAAGAAGTAACAACGACAACAAAAAGTCCACATCCCATAACATCCGCCTCTCTGTTGGAATTAATTAATACGAGTATTGGGAAAAGCGGATCAAAAGGCAAAAATCCTCTCTCTCTCTCTCTCTCTCTAAACATAACAAACTGTTAAATGCATCCAAAAAACTATCTTTATTCTTGAAAATTCAATTTTTAAACAAAAGGGCAGGCAGGCCGACAAAGTTTGTTACTGTCTCAGGTCTTCCTCACTTCAATCCTCAGCTGCCCTGCAAGCCAAGGGCTCTCTGCACAAAAAAGAGCCAATCTTTAAGAGTAGGATTTACAATTACCAAATGGTCCCCAGTCTGCCGTGAAGTTTCTGAGGGACAAAAGGGAAAATTGGTAGTTAGAAATAGAACTTCTGTGGCTCCATGAAGCAGTTCCATCAACTGTAGTGGCTAAATGGCTTAGGGAGGTAGGCAGCTGCTGTTACACAAAAAGTCTCCAGAACGTAGGTGTCTAGTGTGATGGTGTAAATGGCATCTTTTCCATTGAAGACGTGATATTACCAATTTACCCTCGTACGGTATGAGAGTGTCTGCCGTCGAATAATCCCTTCCAATAGAAAAAAAAAGCCATTGATTGATAGAATTTTGATTTTTTGGCAACTTTGTTACTGGCTTGAAGCCAAAATTGGGTGGTGTTCTTCTTTTATCTGCAAGATCTTCAAAAAGCTTTGTTTGGGTAAAAACAGAAAAGATGAGATGAGAGAGAGACAGAGAGCATCCTTTGAATCAAAGAAAACCAGAGGGGGTTTCTAGTAAATAAGAATTGACCAACCAGTATAAATTAAAATATTTACATAATGAAAAGCATCTCCTCCATTATTTCATACACACCACCATCACTACTACCCAAACCAACCTAATCCATTGCCTAAAATTAAGGTACTACCGATACCTACAACTGCAACAGCACATCAGAAAACAGCAACATCTCATTTATCTTCTGCCCTTTTTTTTCATCATCAGCCCCATCTTCAATGCCTACTCTTTCTCTCTCTAAAAAACCAATCTTTCTCTCTTTATCTCTCTAAAAAAACCAATCTTTCTCTCTTTATCTCTCTAAAAAACCAATCTTTCTCTCTCATCACAGAGAAAAACGCACATCCAAAGAAAGAAGGAACATTGAAGTTACACGCACACCCTTCCCCATCAAAAACAAAGAAGAGTCCACACCACACCCAACTCTCTCTCTCTCTCTTCAATGGCCCAGCTGGACCAAAATTTATGTAGAAGAAAAACAAAAAAGAAAGAAAGAAGGGGAAAGAAAAGAAAGAGAAGATAGATGTCTTCAAATGTCCTCCAACCAAACCCACCTCACAAACTCTCTCTCTTAAAACATGTTGCCAGAAATACCCTTCTGCAACCCCCCAAAAAATCCCATCTTCATCACTGTCTTTCAAAAGAACATTATTTTTCACCGAGTTATGTGGGCTCTTTTGGGTTTTTGTTGTCTTGGTCAGAGTTTCACAGAGAAAACAGGAAAGCAAGAAACTTCTCCTCCCTTCCCTTCACTCTCTCTCCTTTTCTTTTCTTCCTTGTCCTTCTTGTTTCTCTCTACCCTCTTTTTATTATTTCCTGTCCAACTCTCTCTTTCTTTTTCATACCCATCTCCTTGTGTCCCTCTTTCTCTCCCCCTATAATTCTTGGTTTTTGGCTTGTGGGTTGTTATATCTCTTTGTGATCTGATGAAGAAGATGAAAGGGGTTCTTGCTATGGAGCCTTCTTCATATGCTGGTTACGAGGATCCAAGGACTAGATTCAAGCATCAGAGTCTCATGCAAGACTATGAAGAGCTGCAGAAGGTATGTATCTTCTGTGGGTTTTCATAATATGCCGAATTTCTTTTGTGGGTTTCATTAGATCTGGTGTGTTGTATTCAATTTTTTATATTTTTGGGTTTTGGTTATGATTTCTGGTTTACCTAGCTTTGGATTATTTATGGTTATTTGGCCGCTGAGCGATTTGAGAATGAAAGGAGAAATCAAATATTTTGGATCTCATTCATGTCTATTATTTCTTTTGGGTTTCAAACCAGTAAGAATTGCTTAGCTAAATTTCAGTTTTTTTTTCTTATTGTCTCAGTAGGTTTCTGATCTCCCTTTGTTTCATTTCCTGCTGTCTATGTGCCTTGCCAGAGAAAAATTGGAAAACGGAACAGGAAATGGAACTTTGTAATTATGTTTTGTTTGTAGAATAATGAACAACCCTCCAAAACTAAGCTAATTAGTACTATTAGGCACATCTCAAGGAGTTCTTTTCACTCTTTACTTGGAGGGGGCGAGGTGGTCTTTTTAACTCTGTTGTTTTCCTACCTTTTGTTTTTTGTTTAAGATCATTTGGTGTTTTTCTCTAATTATAATTTTAGTCCTCCTGTTTAAGATTAAGTAGGCTCTCTCTTTGTTTGGGACTAGTATATAGTGTATTTAACTTGTCTGAATTTCTATCGCGTGGTGAGTCTTTAACTATCTTGTTGTCTAGGTTTCTACAATTATTTGGTACCCTTTTCTTCTTAATTTTATGAAACTTTTCATAGCAGATAATACTTTGCTTCATCTTCGCTTTTTCTCTCTCTTGCTGATTGTGATGCTTTTGGCTTATGACATTGAGGTAGTCAGAGCTGGATTTATGTAATTTAAGCATCATTCCTTCTGCAGGATGCAGAGGCCATGAAGAAGAAATTGCAAATGATGAAACAGAAAAAGTCTACCCTCTTGGCCGAAGTAAGGTATACCATATTGTCCATGCCGTCCTACACTTGTGAGATGGCATAGATTTTACTTGGCCGAAGTAAAACAGGAAAAAAGTTGACTTGGTAGTTGTTTATCTCTTGACTTTGCAGATTTTTGAGTAGAAGATACAAATACTTAATGGGGAACCAGTCCATGAACTCTCGACAGAAGCAAGATGTGGTGAGAACACACAATTTTGAAACCCAGCGCACCAACATTATGAAGGGAAGGAGTTACAGTAAGAAGGAATCTGCTTTGCGGATTAATCATGCATTAGACTTAAACCAAAAGGAACGGATTAATCATGGAATGGAAGACACCTTGCGAAAATCTGCTCCAAAATTTGACTTAAACCAGAAGGCGAGGGCTCTTAGCGGGAAGGAAACTACTATGCAAAAACCAACTCCAAACTTTGACTTAAACCAGAAGGAAAGGATACAGATAGTGAAGGAATCATCGACAAAGCGAAAGAGTACTCCAGTTTTTGACTTGAACCAGATTTCGGTAATCAAATAGTAAATGTTCTAAGTAGTGTGATTTTGAGTCTTGGTGCTGCTTCTTTGCTGTGAGGTTTGATGTTTCCGTTGTTTCATTTTGTTACAGAGAGAGGAGGAGGAGGAATTCCAAGCTAATTGTGAACCATTGAGGATAGAAGAGCCGAACAAAAGTTTACTTAGAGGGGGAAATGATGAGCAGCACAGTGATATGAAGTTGCTGGTTTGCAGGACGATTGGGAATGGGTCAAATCGATCAGGGAAGAGGAAGATTACTTGGCAAGATCAGGTGGCTTTAAGGGTTTGATTTCTTTCTTAGAGAATTACCATTGAAGATGATAGATGTTGGAGTGGGGTGGGTTGGAAAGTTCGCCTTGATGTGGCAAAGATACAATTAAACTGCTATGCTTCTTTGATTTTCATCTTTGTAAAGTAATGAGAGACTGATAGTAATACATATCGAGTGTATACTATACAGATGAAATGATGGAATTAATTGTATCTTTGCTCTGTGTTGATGAATGTTGCAAGTTTGCTGAGGCTATAGATGGAATTCACTTATGTATTGCAATCATCGGGTTGTAAGATATTCCAAATTTTGTTTCTTTTCTCCGTCCAGTTCCAAATCCCAAGTAGCCGGCTGTAGATGAATTCAAAGAGAAAAGGAGAAGCTGATGGTGAAAGATTAATGCTTTTCTTTTCAGAATGCTTCATGGTTGGTTTGCCTTGTTAAATCAAGTAATGGTTGGTTTGCCTTGTTAAATCAAGTAATGGTTGGTTGGAGAGGCGTGTTTAGCTATGGGGCTTTTAAGTTCTGTTTTACGTAATTGTCCAGAGCATATTACTCATTTACAGGTTTGCATGATGTGGCTTGAGACAGACCTCACAATGGTAAACTAGTTTTTAAGTCCCCAATTTTTTTTTCAAGAAGAGGATTTGTTTTGGTATAAACCTGATTCGTGGAGCCAAAATATAAGAAAATGAAAAAAGGATTGTTGATTGATCAACTTGTTTCTTCATCTAATAAATTCCTTTGATTCACAAGCCTTCAATATCATCAAATCTATTTCCTGGAATCATACATCCCCATAAATCCTTTTAAGCATCAAATTAGATTGGTTTTCCAAATAATTCAATTGGTTTTGGCGGTACCTCATCAAATTATACATCACAACCACATGAACTATAAAGAAAGAATAATCTGAGCCGCTACAACCCGAATTTGGAATAAAACACAGAAAGTTGACATACCAAACTCATCTCCAAATCATGCCCCTCTCCAGTCTCCACAACTAGTTATTCACCATCGAATGTATCTGCAACAACAATTTTGGCAGTGTTGTTTGCTTCTTTGGTCAGATCAGCATTTTCTGCCTTCCCATTGGCATTAGTCCCTGATGATGACATGGCAATTTCTGTTGGAATCTTCTCATGAGCTTCTTTGGCCGCATCAACATCTTCTGCCTCCTTACTAGCCTCCACTGACGATGCCAGGGAACTTGCAATTGGAACATTACTTTGTGTAACCTCCTGACGCCTCGCGATGTGCTTCTTCCCTGTCATATGGGCTAACATCACTTTTGGAGAGTAAGCACCAACTTTACACCATTCACACCAAAACTTAAATTTCTTCTTTCTCACTGCTCCTTTTCTTCCCGGTCCCTGCACCATTTCTACCTCATCTTTGATCTTTAAATCCTCTCGACACTGGTCTTTCTGCATTGGCAGTTCCTCTTTTTTCTCTTTTGAAGTGCATGCATCCTGCATTTTCTCGTATAAACCATCACTGGGGTCGAGCGATTCCGTTACTTCTTCGGGCTCAGAAAACTTTGCAGTTTGCTTTGACAATGGTGCACTACTGGAGCTCTTGCCCAGTTTCTGAGCTCTCAGTCTCGCTTCATTGGCCTTGTGCTTCTTACCATTAAGGTGCTGATTGAAGACTTTCTGACTTCTTGCACTAACATGGCACATAGCGCAACTCCATATCTCCTTGGGTTTCTTCTTCAACCCAGTTGGAGGCAGCTCACTAGCACCGGCTGTTGGTGGTGTTTTCCGCTTGACTCCAGAAAGAATTGGGCCAGGTTTAGCCTGCAACAGAGTACTTATACACAGTATATAAAAAGAGTCTTGATATTAAATATCTGATTGATGGTAAAAACCTCAACAGTATTTCCAATGTGAACTGCACCACCCTCTCTGCTGCTTTCACAAATACGGAATGAACAAAAGAAAACAACTTCTTGTGTAATCTTAAATAGAAAAAATCAAAGTCGCAATAAAATGCAGTTTACGAAATCCGCAAGATGTCAACTGGCAATTTTGAAATACATACATTGTTGTTGTTGCACAACTCAGCCAACATATGAGAACAGGAGTCCCCAAATTTGTTACTCACTTTTGTTTTTGGCCAAAAGTAATCTTCAAGGTTGTTGGGTTAATTGCAAAGGAATATAGGTTTTCCAAACAAAACAACAAAAAACCAAAAAAAAGAACCACCAAGAAGAGACATGGTACCGTCACACAAGGCTTAGGCCACACTAGAACAAGGGAAGGGATTGCTGCAAATACATAATTAAGGAAGGTAGGCTTCTCCAAGCGAACCGACAAATGAAAAATCAATTTGCAAGGATCAGCAGAGCCATTAATTGAGATTGTTGTGTACCTTGATCAATTTGATTGATGTGTGTCAACTACAACAAAAAGTCATAGTAAACTTATGAAGGAAATCACAATCTAAGTAATGAATGACTATGATGCTCCATTGGAACTGACTTTTAAAGTGCCGATCCACAAGCAAAAGGACTACCAGACCTAGCAAACCGATATAAACCTTGTACTGTGTCTTAATATTCCCACCACCAGAAAGAAATGCAGTGTAAATAGAGATTAAAATTAAAATAAATCCAAAAAAAGAACAAGTAGAAATGAGGCGCCTGACACTGACCAGTGGGATTAAGTTGTGGTTGTTGATGAGAGAAGTTGCGAAGCGGTCATGATCCAAAGAGTGGTGGAGGAGTCGGGGGTGGTGATCAAAAGCGAGGCCGTCGGCGGCGGCAGCTCTTCGCATAGCGATGTCTCGCTCGAGCATGAGCTCTCTTCTGACCTCGGCTTCGAGAAATCGCCGTCTCTCGGCCGCCATGATCTCCTCCCTGATCTTCTCCTTCTCCAGCTGGCGCTCGATCATGGCAGCTGTTTGTGTTTGTTGTGTTGTTGCTGTTGAGAGGTGGAGAAAAGTGAGGAGTAAATGGAATTGAATTGGATTTGTAAGCAAAATAAAGACGAGAGAAAAGAAAAGAGGAGAAATTAGAATGAAGAATGTTTTCTTCTTCTTGTTGTTGTGGTTTCTGAGTCTGAGCAAGAAAGAAAACAGTGAACCTCGCAATGCGTGTGGATGTTGGGGGAAGTAGCCGAGGGTGGAAGGCAGCGGCGGAGGCGACCTTTTGTCGAGAGATCGGAAGTTGAATTCCATGGAAGGGAGGAGGAGGAGGAGCCTGTCAGTAGCCTAAAAAAGATTGAACTTTTTAGGCAAAAGCAAAAGCAAAAGTTGTGTGTTTGGTTTCCAGGAGAGTTTTGGGTTTGTCATTTATAGTAAGAGTACTGGAGGAACCGGTTGTTCGATTAATGAATGGCCTCATTTCAACGACATGAAAATGGAAACTCTCTGTCCATCAATAGATAGGTACATACGTTGTTGTTGTGTTTTAGACAGTCACTCATACCCCTTTCATTTGTGTATGTGTATATGTCTACTGACTGCTGACTACTGACTACTGTTGCATTCGTCCAGTCCAATTCTATGACGCTATTTGTTTATTTCACGGCAGCCTTTTCTTGGCAAACGCATCTTTGAGTCTTTCCTATAATAAGGTGTTGCGGCAAACGAGTCATTCATTCTGTCGTGAGGGTCTTAGATGAGGTCTATATCCCTTAATCATTGCATCAAACTATCGAGCAACAATTTTGATGGGCTTCGGCCCTGAAAATATATAATATGGCCCAGTAGAATTAAATTGAGGCCCAATAGGCAAAGGCAGAACCCAGAGCCCAGAGGCCGGGCAAGTCAACTCAAGACTCGAAGACTCTCTCTGTTTGTGGTGTTGTGTGGTTTGATTTGGTTTGGTTTTTAGCAAACAAGAAGAAGAAGATAGAAGGAAGGAAGATGCCGAGTCGCTGTGAGATCTTCTGTGAAATTCTGATCGCCGTGTTGATCCCTCCCTTGGGGGTTTGTCTAAGACACGGTTGCTGCACTGTAAGCCTTTTTAACCCTCATCATCTTATCCTTCTTGCACACCATAAATTAAAAATAATGTAAGTGTCAGAGAGGCTGATTTGATTTGATATGAAATGGTGAATTTGGTTTGCTTGCAGATTGAGTTTTGCATATGTTTGCTGTTGACTTTGCTTGGTTACGTTCCGGGAATCATCTACGCTCTCTATGCCATCGTGTTCGTGGATCGCGACGAGTACTTTGATGAATACCGCCGTCCCCTCTATGCCTCCCCCGCTTAACTTGTTTCCGTTATTCAGTTATTTTCCCTCCCTCTTACCTTAATTTTATTATTATTGTTATGTCTTTGTCTTATGAATTCAACACACACAAACATGTTTCCGCATTATTATGTTTTTATCAAAAGGGATCTTTGATTTGATATTTTGTAGCCTTGTTTGTTTATACAGGATTAATAATAAAATGAAAACGGAATGAATGAATGATTTGTTTGTGAGTAGAGTAGTAGTCACTCAGAAATCTGAATTTGTTGGATACACACATAAAAACACACAACATGATTCATTCATTGATTATTTCTCAACTTTCTATGTAGGTAGATGTATGTTTGCTAGACTGATAATCCTAGCATTTTGTTTTGTGGGTGTTGAAAGGAATCAGTTAATCTCAACATCTTCCTTCAACAGAAATTTATTGAGTTATCCAATTCAATCCAAATCTTAGGCATTGGACACACACCAAATGTGACCCTCCTAGAGTAGAGTAGAGTAGAATAGAGAGTACAACTTACGAGTGCATGATGACTGCAAATCATAGGCTCGAAATCGAAAGCTGCCTTGTTCAAGTCTTTATGTATGATAATGGTATGGGTAAACTTACACATTAGATTATACTCAGTTGCTTGGTTGTTGCTGCTGCTGCTGCTAACGGGAAGAGCAAGCCAATCCCAATTTGGAGAGCAAGTAAGTAATTGTGTTTAGGGTTGAAGATGATATATAGCCCATCCCAGAGATATGCATAATGTCTGTCCATCACAAGGGAGGAGAATTGTGAATTTAGATAGAAAACAAACATCAAGCCCTTGTGTCCGTTTCTATTTGTAAATCACTTGTATTGTAGCTCTAGGAGGAGGAGGAGGAAGGAGAGGCTCCAACAGATAGATATGATATATTGACCTACTTCTTGAATTTAATTCCAGACAACATCTACCCGTCTACCAGTCTACCAGTCTATCTACCAGTCTATCTACCAGTCTACCAGTCTACCAGATTATCTGATTGATTGATTGATGAGACTAATTTCATGACTTGACTACTATGATGTGATGATATGAGGCACTTTTTTTCTTTTGCTTGCTTTTTTGACAAAATCAAATGAGAGCATCTCAACATCTCCCTTTCCCTCTCTCTCTCTCTGTGTCCCTCTTGTTGTTCCAGGGTAGAGTTCATAAAGCAGCAGCCTTTTGTTGAGAGATGAATTGCAACCTGCATGCATCAAGTTCAAGTTGTTACTTCAGACCAAAAAAAAGTTCAAGTTGTTACTAGTGCTGCTCCTCTTCCTCTTCCTCTTCCTCTTGTCTTGGCAGCTGCAATTATGAATATACATGCATTTAAGCACGCTTTACTTCAAAGGGAAAGGAAATCAAATTATTTCTTTATACACCAAAGTTTATACAAACCTTTTTTTAATTATTATTTTCTAATCGAATGGAACAATTTTATATATAATTTCCTTTTCTTTTTCTTTTTGTTACAAAAAAGGTGGTAGGGAGTGTCACCTCTTCGAGCCGGATATGAGTTAGAAGAAAGCTCTCCCTAAGGAGAAATTTTTAAATGTAAGAGGTTCTTTACATATGCGGATGATCCAACTTAGGACCTCATTGAGGATCTCGATCACATTCGTCCAACATGTGTGGCCTAGTCCGTTCAATTTTCACTAGATCAAACCCAATTGAGTATTTTATATATAATTTTAATCTCTCTCTCACTTCGCAAACTATTTTTCTTACATTATTAGTACATGAATGGAATCATCATGTGCTCATAAACAAAGTTTTCATCTAAAAAGACCAAAAAAACAAGCGGAATTCATGATGAGGAGCCGCCCTTGATCCTGGGATAGGATAGGATAGGCATAGGCATAGGCAGAAGAGTAGTAGTGAGCCACAACAGCGACACGTGGTAAATTTTGGAACTATTTTCGACGTAAAATGACATCTACACCCATACCCATAGTCCATATTTATATAACTTGCCCGTGCATGTGACACACACTCTCTCTGTCTCTCTCATTCATTCTTCTCCCCTCCCCCAATCCACCCACCGGCAAAAGTAACTAATGGACACAACCAACAAGGAAGAAACAGTGCCCGAGTCCGGATCGGACTGGGCCGAGTTGACCCAGGAGTGCCTGATCAACATACTGGGTCGGGTTAGCCTGGAGCAGCGCTGGCGTGGGGCGATGCTGGTCTGCAAGTCATGGCTGCAGGCGTGCAAGGAGCCTTGCCTCAACTCCGCCTTCGACCTCCAGCCTGACTTCGAGTCCGCTCGCTGGTGGACCCCGGAGTTCGAGAGAAGGGTTGATTCCATTCTCCAATCTGTCGTTGATTGGAGCGCTGGCTCGCTTCGACACATTCGTACCACCCACTGCTCTAATCACTCTCTATCTTTCGTCGCTCAACGGTACCCTTACAACCTATATAAATATATATATCATCATTTCTATAACCAGACGAATTTATTTATCTATTTTGAATTAGACAAAGCTGGTTATTGTTGTTTAATTTTGGGTTTTGATTGTCTGTGGCCTGGAATTAGTTGCGTTGGGTGCTAAATTTTTTTTTCCTTCTTTCTTGGTTATGTGTTTTCGGCCTAAAGTTCTGCTCTTGATTGGTGTATGGTGAGCTTAAGGTTAGATGTAGAGTTTTTCGTCAGGAAAGTTTGGATTATGAATTATGATGAGACTAGCCTAAATTGATTAAAAATGTTTTCAGCATCTACGGTTGGTTTCAAATTTCTTTGTTTTAGAGTTAAGACTTAGAGCCTGACTGGACGGTAAAAGTGTGTTTTTGCCAAATTTGCATTTTGAAGCTTCAGTTCTTAATTTTTATTTGTTAATTTGATTCATGAAGTTTGGCGTGTTGCCATCTTAAACTTTCCATAGGTTGTTACTGGTTGGTTGTGATTTAAATTGCCAAATCGGTATGTGCTTTTAGGTGCCCGAACCTCGAGGTTCTTTCAATCAAGTGCTGCCCGAATGTAACTGATTCATCCATGGCTGACATAGCTTTTCGGTGCCCCATGATCCGGGAACTTGACATCAGCTATTGCCATGAAATATCTCATGAGTCTCTGGTGTTGATTGGAAGGAATTGCCCAAATCTCAAAATCTTGAAAAGGAATTTAATGAATTGGTTAGATCCTTCCGAGCACGCTGGGGTAGTTCCTGACGAGTACTTAAAAACTTGCCCTCAGGATGGAAATTCAGAAGCTGCTGCAATTGGCAAATCTATGCCCAATTTGGAGCACCTGGAACTTCGGTTCTCCAAGGTATCGGCTAAAGGGTTTGCTTTGATATCTGTAGGGTGTCCAAATCTTGAGTACTTGGATTTGTTTGGGTGTGTAAACTTGACCAGTCGCGATATTGAGAATGCAACATCCAATCTGAAGAATTTGAAGGAGATTAAGAAGCCAAATTTTTACATCCCCAGGTCAGTGTTCCATACAGAGAGGTATGGCCATTGGAGGCTGTATGACGAGAGATTCCAGACAGATGTTTTCAGAATCTAAACTGCTAAGCTTGGAAATAAAATATGTATGACCAAGTCTATGGTGATCTGATCAATTGTGGGAAAACATATTGTATGCTGGTGTGTGAAGCTCTTTAAAAAGGTTCTGTATCTATTTGACTTCTACTTATCTAAAATCTTGTCATGTATTAATAATTCAGATTTTATGGAATTTATGTATAAACAACCATCTAGTAATACGAATGCTTCCACTTCGTCGTTTGTATCATACTTTTAATTTTGCAGACAAGGTGAAGAAATGTTAACCATGTTTCTGCCTTCTTTTTTAACATAGCCTTGTCACTCGCTTTTTTGTTTCTGTTTTTTCCGTAGTATTGATATGCACTTCTTCCCTTCTTTCTTTGTTTGCTTTGCATGAACAACAGGGGAAGAAGGGAAGAAATTTCTGAAATTATTCTTCAATAAGTGATGTTCTAGGATGTAGATAGAAGCAGGTTAGGGCAATAGATTTGAAAGAGGCCTTTAACATGAATGAGTTTTATCACAACTTCCACATTGAGTCCTAAATCATGTTTGCGAAATCACCCAAGCGATTAAAATTACTACAAAGAAAATATAAGCACAGCCAGTGCCGGGAGGAATAAAGCGAGGGTGGATTTAACGGGTACAGAGCTTGCTGCATTATGGTTGGTACGGGGGCGCTTAAGGTCAGAGGCACCACCATAGATTGCCCTTGCTTTCTGGGAAGTCCTTAGATGATGAACTTGATGCATTCTCCCATATGGTCTTTCATGGCTTTTTCTACTTGATCTTGTCGTCATTTCATGTATATCTGCAGAGCTTATAACGATATTAATTAGGGAAAAGAAGGACGGGATCAATTGAGCTATGAAGACAGAATTTTTATGCTTACCCTTAACCTTAAGTTGATCATGCTGCTTGAGAGGTCCAGAATCTCCAGTTGTAGGTGTGAAAGCGCTTTCACATGTAGACTGAGCCAGGAGGCACAGAATGGAAAAGGAGCATATGAGTAAGTCTCCCCTCCTCATGTCCTCTCAATTGGGTTCTAATTTGTAACTAAGTTCCACAGTTAGGAGCTGAGGAAGAGGGACACTTAAATAAACTTGTTACTCTCTGTGTTTAGAATGAAGCACTAAGCAAAAACAGAAAGGAGAAGGAAAAGAAAATTAAAAAAGTTGAATGGGGTTTTCGTGGCCGGTGGATAAAGACAGATTCTAATTAATCAGTAGTAAAATAAAACTGGCATATGCGTGATGCATGTGTTGTTTTGCACTCTCCAGAGATTAAGTATTGATTCACAATGCAGGTATAAAGCCATACAAGCACTCCTTTCTTAAAGGAATAAAACAGACCCTTTCTTTCTGAAAGCAAGATGAAGAAATCACTTCGAAAAATGTAAGCGAATGCGATGCCTTATTTGTTGGAGAGGCCTCAACTCAAAGAAAAGATGAATGGCTTTTCTCAAGTCTGTAAAGTCAAAGTGATTCGATGGGTGGAAGGAAAGTGTGTATACTTATAAACCAAGGAGGCTAGCTACCTCTGAAATTCCTCCGACTAGGTCTAAATATACAGTAAATAAATACTACCCGGAACTAATAATTAGTAATTAGGAGGGCGGCGGTGGTGATCCATGAGTTAAAACTAATTGGTGTTGTTTGAAGAGATTGTCATGTTGTCCTCAAGGGTTTTAACAATCAGACTCAGTCTCAGTCTCAGAGGTCATAACTATTTGAACGACATACTTGATACATGGATGGTGGATTAAGCTCCGACTCCATGTATGTACCCATTCGTATTATTCTAAGAAAAAGAGACGTGACAATGACCTATTCTTTCACACAAGGATAGAAATATGCTAGTTTGGGCTGGAAATTTGATTCTCATCTTCGTGTTCAAGGAATTAAGAGCATGTTTACATAACCGGAATGGGTAGCATGAGAGTCATTCCCATTCCGGATGACTCCTTTTTTTTTCTTCTTCTTTTCTTAAAAAAAAATAATTTAATTTATAGTAAATACCACGAGGTGTCCTCATTCTCGAAGGGTGAGATTAATCTCTGCTCAGGGTTCAGCTTGCCTCTGGCCACAAAGTATTTCCAACGGATTTCGAACCCCTGCTACTGAGGCACCAAATAGCTTGCTAGCTGAAGGTGACAGTTTGTCAACCGCACAACACCTTGTGGTTATTCCGGATAACTCCTTTGTTTACTTACGTCGGCAGAATAAACAGCAACATAGGGACACAACAAATTTGATTCTTGATTCCTGATATTAAAGAGATTTCATTTCAGAGAGGGGCGGTGGGATTGGAGAAGGGTGAAAGGGAATCAAGTTTTTCATGCCAAAAATACCCCTTACAATTTTTATTATTATTTTTTTCATATGAAAATTTGTAGTAATCTTTTAAAAAAAAACATATTTTGTTTAAGGGCATTTTCTTAATCAAATTGTTTTTCATTTCGATTCATGATGGGTAGTAAACATTTTAATGAGAATGAACTCTATTTTCATTCCGATTCATGACAGTTGGTAAACATCTTAAATGGAATGCATGACTCCGATTCTTGGTTAACCCGATTCATAGTTACGCTGATTCTTGATTAATAAACATGCCCTAATAAAAGGAGATTGATTATCGGGACTGGGTTAGGAATCATAATTCAACTTTCTAAATCTAAAGTAGGCAGCCAATTCGTACATACATGATACATACATGTAAAGAAAAGAATAATGGTAATTTTGTAACTTGTTGCCAATTGAAACAAACATAATATTTCAAGCTTATATTGATGATGATTGTTGTTGGAAACAAACATAATATTTCTAGCGAGTATTATGATATCCAGCTAGTCCTATCCTATAACAGAAAGAAAGAAAGGAGGGATAATGAAGAAAGAAAACAAGCGACAGGAAGAGAAGGTGTCATCAGAGTTGGAATGGCGGATGATTTTTTGACACGAGGAACCTTTGGAACGCTACGGGTTAATTTCATGTGAACCCCAAGCTTAAGCTTCCGAGTTGTGTGAAGCAAAGTACTGACATGGTAATTTGCAGCTGGCAGTAGTGGCTGCTGCTGCTGCTTCTGCATTTGCTGCTCCCCAACAACCACCCTAGTAATAGTACTAGTAGTTGTTGTACCACCTCCACTTCCATCTTCATGGGCTGAACTTGGAAGCGATTGACAGAATATTAGAAGAAGAAGAAGGAGCGAGAGACTGAGCATGCAGCGTGGTTTCATCTCATTCAACATGTCTGCCTTCTTGCTTTGCCCTGGCCTGCTCTTCTGCTGCTGCTGTTAAGCGTTACGCAATATGCTAAATAAGTTCTACTACTTCACCAATACTAGGGATATTATAGATTAGACGCCAAAGTTGAACGGGCAGCATGAATGGGTCTCTTCATGTCGGCAAAGGTGTCCAGTGTAATTCAGACGAAAGCTTCGAATATCTTTGACAATTAATTAAACAAAGGAATTTTAATTGAATGCGGTTTTGATATAGGAGAAGAAAGGAAAATGCCATGGGACCATGCCACAAGGAAGGAAAGAATCCCAGTGAAGAAAAGGACTAGGCGCACAAGCGACAATGACTCATTTCTGTCCACATACCAGTAATCTATATTACCTTCACTTCACCCATCAGTAAATTATGCGTGACAAATAGGTCCACGGCATCTATTATAGACAAGAAATGAAAAGAATTAGCATTGTCATTTGTGATATCAGCTAAACGTCGCTCTTATCTTCTTTGAATTGCTTGCTAATAAGATCCTCCTAAACCAAAGACGGTGTTTGTATTTGTATTTTTTTTTATAGAAGGATTTGGAAACCCAACAAAGATACGTACAAAAATTCGGTCAAATCGGAAATCATGATTTGTTTGTTTTAGAGTGAGTCTCATACTCAAGAGTATAAGAAAGAAAGAAGAATTGGGGGCAGTCAGTGGTGGAACAACAGGCTATCAAGAATTTCGCGTTTGAGCTTGTGCAGGGACATATTTAGGCCCACATGCCTTGCCAACTCACCTATGACTCGTTCCATGTATAACACATAGACCCCATTTCTGCTTTCCAAAACTTGTAATGCCTTGCGTGCGTGAACCATTGATGCTACCCACTCTTCGAAGACCACTGCATTATCACCACCATCATCAAAATTATTTCTCAGGTCATTCAATATGCCTATGCTTGATCTAAGACCATCTATCTAGTAAAAGAAAACGTTTTGCAAAATATCTGCAACGTAATCTGCATAGCTGCATTATATTTCCTTTAAGTTCTTTGTGCAAAAAAGGGTGCTATGCGTGCTTATGCTATCTCACAGGGGTTTGTGAAATTCTATTTGGTTTGGAATGATCTTGGAATTGTTCAAATTCAATCTGGCGTGAGACCAAAAAACAAAAACAAAACCAAAAAGATTCTTAAAGCTTGTGAAATGCATAGTAATTAAGAGAATAACTCACTGGTGTCAAAACCTTCATCCTTTGACCATTCTGATAGGTAATCGGATACCAAAAACTCTGTAAGCTGGATCCTGTCATACGCATAAACAGATGAGAGAGGCTAATTTAAACTTATTACAAGAAAGTCATATCAGAAACTCATTTCACTGGAAAGAGATGTGTGTGGCCACAGTTCAAGATTATTAAAACAAGTTCCCTACACCCTCTGGAGAAGTGTGGCCAATTAGATCGCATAAAAATTTCATGTGGTTTACCATCAGAAAATATAATTTTCGGCATAAGGCCCTAGCCACTCTATAACTTGGCAATAATAGTGGCTGGTAGAAGTTAGAACAATCCACTACAAAGATAGTGCAGGTTAAAATTATGCAACTGACTCAGTAACCATCCACAATTTTGCAGACTCAATGGAAGAGAAGTGAAGAGGGTAGGATGCCTTCTTGTCTAGGGAACTAATGAATCTCTAACAGATTTTGGCCACTCAAAAGAGGAACCTGAACTTTCTATTGTGATGCCTTTCTATTCAAATATTGGGATTATAGATGCTCGAACTACGTTTTATACCCAAATTGTTGAGGAATATGAGCATGCTGGATTCAATTAATAGTTCTCATGTTTAAATGTTACTGAAAAGCAAGTTGGGTTTCAGGCCCTAGTGGATAACAATTTTTACAAAACCAAAGGAAAAATTGGAGAGATGATCAGTCAAGAATGTATTTGTAGAATACTTACAGCATGAACATGCATTGATGCATGTTTGTAAAAGCATCATCAAATGGATCTGCGAAAAGGAAATTCTCTGCAAGAACAGAGATTCTCTGAGATACTAAGAATAATGCACGTTGACCAATGTAGGGCTCACTTCCAAGCTTTCGGATCAAGTGCTGAACGAAAAACTGAGCATCAGGTTCAGAGTGTTTTGATGCTGGAACAAATGATTAGTAACATAATTAGAGACATGATATATTAACAATCAAAGAAAAAGCGTAAATGCAAGATCATATTATCCTTGAAAAAGGAAATTATAGCCAGCCATAATGTGATATGATTAATGGTGAATGCCATCATAGGGTGACAAAAATATACAATTTGAATAAATTTTAAAATGTGCAGGAATATAATGCTGAAAATATTAACAGAACCCAACCACAAACAACAGTTTACCATTTCCTTGCAAGGGGCAACACATCCTTCTAACCAAACGCGTGATTAAGCTGCTGATAATTCCTTCTATGAGTTCCACATTCATTGCCACTGATAACAGGTTCTTCATTGAAGCTTCAAGAAATAGACATAATGCATTTAGAAAAATATATACAAGTAAAGGTGGCAGGTGATGGAAACACTGCAACCTGGAAAGGGCAAAGAGAAACTTAAGAGATAACAGGGCATTCCCACACTGCCCAAATTACTACCCACAATCATGGATGTTCCATGTGGTGATGCCAAACAAACCCAAAATGAAGCTCAATGTATCTTCCAGAATCTAAGCAAAAATTTCAGCAAGATTCTTGCGACCTTTATACTTAATTTGTAGTTTGTTTTCCTGTGTTTATAATCAACCTATTATCTAGATACATCTTTTTATTTTGACAATGGAACCATTAAAAAAATTATTTCAGTGAGTCTACTCTATAGATATCATTAATTTGGAAAATTCTCAGAATGTAGATACCATTAAACTCAAATAATCAGAAGGAAGAAATAAAAATTTTGCTACCTAAAATAAAGTCTGCAGCTTGGTGTGACCAATTTGCCACATTGGTCTCCTCCACCTGAAATTCCAATAGACCAAAGTTAAAATGAAAATGTATGATTACATAAACACCGCAATAAGTAACTAAACTGCAAATTAATAAAAGTAAGATGTGGATCTAACAGGAGAACTGGTTTCACAAAGCTCAACAAGAAAATCGACTGAGGCCCTAAGCTGCTCCATTTCATCTTCACTGTTTATGTCTGCACTAGAAATTACTAAATGCATTAAACCAGATTATACAAAAGCAAATTAATTTCCAAAAAAAACCCCTAAATTGCTAAGCTCCTACATATTCCCTCACAAAATGGATGAATTATATGCCAGAATAAGGGTAGGTATAACATATATAGGATTATTAGCCAGAAAATTAAATTAAAGCCAAATAGGAGTATAATTTGAGTTACACGAGTTGATCATAATTATGTATTCACCTGCAAAATGGCGTCGCTGGGATGAACAACTTCTTCTTCTCCTTTCCTTAAAACGTACTGCGATTTTATTTTATTTTTTGAAGAAAAGCAGTTGTTAGAATTAAAGAACTGCATACATTATGCAGAGTTTATCAGAATACGAGAAAGAAGATGCGTTGATGAGGACCAACCGTGTCTGAGAAATCTGCGTCGCAAGACATCATTGAATCTGCACTGAGAAGGATGTGGAAGCCGCTTATTAGGGCTTAGTTTCCCCAAATTATCAAAGAAATAACACTTGCAAGAAGCGCTTTGCGGGAACAAGTCGCACTGCGAAGCATCTGAAACCGAAAAGACAGTACAAGTTTATGCATAAACCTGTAAATTAAGTATTAATCACGCATGAAGAAAATGAGAGAGAGAGAGAGGCGTAAGCTAGGAGGAGGACCTTCAGCTTCGTTGAGATGTTGTCGGAGTCTCAAAAGCTCTTGCTTTCGCTCCTTAGCCTGAAGCACAACTCAGTTAATTAGGTTCCGAAAGCAATTTAACAAAAATTGTGATCGAATCGGAAGGTGTGTGCGTTGAAAGAGAGGAGAGATACCTTTCGCTTCCATCGGAGAGCGTCGGATTGATCAACAAGAGGAGGAGGAGGAGGCTGCTTTTGCTGCTTTTGAAGAAGCTTTGATCGGAGAAGAGAAATGGCTACGGCTACCCTCAGCGACTGCTCCTCCGCCCCTGACTTTGTTGCTCGCTCTTGTTCGCTGCCTGACATTCTCTCGCACTCGGCCCAATCTCGCGGGAAAATTCGCTCTTATTTTACTTTCTATTTATATTATTTTAAAGCCATTTGTTGAAAAGCCATGGTTTTACGAGGGATTACCAAATAAAATGACATTCAAATCCAAAACATTTATCGGCTAGGCCCATATTCTTTTGTATTGTATAGGGCCATGCTTCTTTCATGTTTTGTATTTGGATATCTTTACTGCATGTTTACTTACTAGAAATTGAAACGGTCGAATCAGATAACTTAAGAGCAAGGAAGTAAGCGCTATTAGAGTATAGTCCAGTGAAACGCGTGTTGACTTGTGTATCTGTGTTGTCGTTTAGACTCTCATTTATATTTTAAAAATAAAGAATAAATAAGAAATTGAAATTTGATCAACTACCCTCTTAGTTTACTTAATTCCTTAGTTTACTTAATTCCTTAATTTGACGGGTATTTAATTACATATTGGAAAAAACTTGGCTCCTTATCCTTCTTTACTATCAATGTTGTTTTGATACTTAGCAAATTTCTTTAAACCCTATGTGATTAAACTCCTCAATTTTAAGGGGCTATGCAATGGTATTTTAATAAGCTCTATTAGAGATGTCAGGCCTAAAATAAAATATAAAAAAATCACCATGCGAGCTCTCCGTGACACTAAAGACATTTAACTTTTTAATTGTTGGGCGAGCAGGTTCAATGAAAAAATTGAAAAGAAAAAGAAAAATGAGCATTGAAATCCAAACGAAATATGCTCGGAATCAATTTCCTTTGACAGTGGAATATAAAGACATGGCATTTATGAGCTGGCCAAGTTTAACAATGAACTAAATTTAATTAGTCAAGAAGAGAACAAAAAAGACGAAACAAAACTAGTCAAGTACAAAACAACTGGATCCTTTGAAGGGACACTCTCCACCTTGAGCAAATTTAAAAATAGCACGTGATTAGCCATCCACATCTCCAGAGCAAAATCCATGGCATTATGATTTGATTTCTTTCCTCAATAAACACACTACTATGACCTCGGGAAATATACAACTCAAATTAAAAAGAAAAAAAATACCTGTCCTGTCCTTGGCATCTCCACCTTATCACATCTAATTGTAATACAAATCACTCACCCAAAAAAGAGAGGGTGCAGGGTAACGGCGTTGCAAAGAGGTGAAGCACAAGCACATGGAGTTCGCACCCCCACAGAAACTCATGTGCTCATGCGAAGCTGTTCGAGGGTTTCTAAAATAGACTCCGGCAGGCATCAATATCAGACACTTGAGAATCCAACACGCCTTGCCCAGACGGACTAGAACTAACAACCTTCAGTCCTGCCTCTAATATAGCTCTCTGGAAGTAGTCGTCATCCACCTCCTTCAGGACCTCTTTCACCACCTTAAAATCCAAGCCTCCAACCAAAATTAATTTCCCTATAACTTCACCAAAGTTACTCGGTGCTTTTGGCAGATCAATGCCAACATCATTCAGGATAGATGCATACAATAAACATCCACTCCTTATGTCACTAGCTGTAAACACCTTCTTAGAAAACAAATACTCCAGAAGCTTCACAAGTGATTCAACACAGGGTCGACTTTTCTCTAGTGCAAGGGAGATAGCTTCCTTGACAACCTCAGGGTGGTACGCTGGAGATCTTAGCTCCTCCACACACAGTAATGCTTCATCTAAGAGTCCAACACTGAAATATTCCTCCAAAAGGGAGACTGTTTTTTTCTTAAGCTCATCCAGTTTCAACTTTGGAGCTGGAGCTGAAGCTTGTGGCTTTTCAGTAAGTGGTGATATAGATGGAGCAACAACAGGTCTAGCAGACACAGGCGCTTGAGCTACAGGCTCTGCACCAAAAGCATAGTTGGATGGACGAGCAGGAGGACCACCACTACCCTGCAATAAGGCACTAGGCCTATTACTGGTAAGGCCACCACTACCCTGAGGTAACAGTCTTGTGTTCGCTGATGTTGATTTTCCAACGAATGGCAACTGGCCACGTCCAGCAGCATCACCTCGTGGCATTGATCGATTCCTAGGGACCTCCCAATCATCATTATCTATTCCAGGCATCCCAGGCATCTTCCTTGTTCCTGGCATCCCAGGCATTCCAGGCATTCCAGGCATCATACCCCCTAAACCAGTTCGGTTGTTTGGGAAACCCCCAGGACTGGTATTCCCTTGAGCACCAGTAACGTTGTTACGACCACTTCTGATGCTTGCAGCAGCACCCGGACGCAATCCAAGATTTTTCTCTGCCTCTGTATGTATTTCAGAAATGGTTTTGGCTTTTACCTGTAACCAAAGTTCAAAATAAGATGATTAATAGTTAAATAACGCCACCTCTTCACATATATTACAAGAGTCATATATACATGTATTTCAGCATGCCAGTCAAATACATATATTACAACAGCCTACCTCTTCACGTCTGGGAACCCAGTTGTTGGCCCGCAAATCAAGTACATCACGAACCATGAACCTCAACCTTGGAGCCAATTGAGGGTTCGTTGTCAGTTCCTTCAATCGGCTGAAGTACAAATCATTTATACGGCGTGATTTTGGGCTCTCGTCAAGCTGCTTACCAATAGTGTTAAAAAAATGACATATGGCCTCCACATTTTCCTCAGCAGGACAAGTTCTGTTATCAGCTCCTAAAAGTTCCTGTTTCACATAACAAATAACCATGAATAACATATTTAAGAAAAGGAACTCATTAAGAAAGGGCTAGAAAATAGGGAATACAAGACGAACCGCAACAATGTGATGTACAATCTTTTCAGGTACCATCTTCTGCTTCAGAAGCTCTCCAATTAAACGAATGTTTCCCAGTGTACGAATCTTGGCCAATCTTTCTTTATCCCTACGCTCCATCTCTTGTTCAGGGGCAGTCATCTGCCTCACTTCTTCCCTCAATTTGTCAGCACCATCGAAAGCCTCCTGGCAGTTATTCAAGAGAACACGCTTGAAAGTGATTTCTTTTCCATCTGGTTCATCTGAGGGGAACCGGGGAAGCTTTTCATTAAGATCAGAGCACAGAAGAGCATACATGGGGCAAAATGTAGGTTCCAGCACAGCCTTATCAAATATCAGTGAAATAACCCCCTGGAATGCAAAGAAAACTGTGAGTACAGTTGACAGCAGTAACAAAACAGAACCGAAAGAGAACATTAGAAGGGCATATCAATAAAGAAATCAAAATCTCCACCTTTAAGATATCAGCTGAAGTAATGCCAGAGTCAATAAGTTGCCCTTTAAGGAGATCAAACTTCTCTGGGGTCAGCTTGTTCAGTATCCTACATATATAAACATAAAGCAAGTGGGATTAAACACAATGTTCTGAGGACAACTCAGTCTACAGGAAAAAAGATAACCAAACCATAGCAACTTCGGAAGCAAAGGACCCCTAGACAGTCTTTATTGGGAGATAATGAGACAGAGAATAGTATTTCCATATTTCAGCATCCGTTATCATTTTCTGAGTTGCATGTTTTAATCTCACAATCAAACAGATAACAAAAAGGCTTTCAGCAAGCAAATAATGAAGATATAATACAATATGATGAACTATCATGATATATTACCCCTTCACAGTCTTCAACACACGGTCCTTATCAGATAGGGTACCCCTTCTAGCTGACCATGGCACCTCAGCTTTGGTTAGAGCAGGAGCAGGCCCTCCCTGAAATAATGAGAAAACAGTGCCATCAGAAATGAAGCACAGTCGACACTGTCCTTGTATGCAAGTACAGTAGGTACACATGCAAAACTGAGACAGATGTTAAATGAACAATTTATCACATGATTAATAAAGTAACAATAAAATCATGCCAAAATACATGTATAATTACACTGACCATATTTGAAACCCTAAAACCTTACCCCTTGGTTGGAAGAGTTATGTGTCCTTGCAAATTGAGGTTGATTTGCTTCTTGTTGTCTGTAATCAAACCGATTACCAGACTCTTTATTCTCCCGAAGAGTCTCCCAAGATCGTTCCTCTCCAGAAGCAGGAACAGGCGCAGAGCGGCCACGCCAATCCCGACTGTCGGGCTCAGAATAACGACCTTGAGATTGAGGTGGAGTTGGCAGCTGAAGAGGAGAAAAAAAAAGTCTTATACAAAGCGCACAACGAATATCATACTATAATATGAAGATCAATTAGTTCTGTAAGGCTACATCACTAATTGTTATAATCAGCAATAAGAACAAACATGATGAATTGCAATGAAACAAAAGATATTTGAAATTGATGATTTTGAACCCCTCCATCAACTTGAGCACTTAAAGCATTGAAATACAAGTTATTAGTTGGACAAATGCTCACATTGGTTTCTGCACGACCCCAACTCTGATCTTCACCAAGAAATTCAGCTTCAATTTCTTGTTTTACTTTCAGAATTTCATCAGGGACCTCAACAGCCTATAAAGAAGAGAGAAACAATCCGAAGTTCATTAAAGTTCATTTGAGAATATATAATCTTTTTTAGTTTAAACAAAAAAGTTAAAGAATCATACGATCTTCTGACGATTCATATAAATAAAAAATACTACTACTTTTCAAAATCAAGTGCATTAAAAAATGGAATACCTCTCTAAGCTGTAAGATCTGGTCTCTGGTGTACTTCACACGCTCACGACCCTCAAACCGTGAGTCCCCCAGCCTGTCATGGAAAAATAGTTTAGAGAGTTTGACCACATTCAATGGGGCAAGAATGCAAAATAGGAACCACAGCTTAAGAGATAATAAATCTCCTTCAACTAAATAATTTCAAATGTGAAGATAATAATCGTAATTAAATAGATATCATCTCCCCAAACACACACGATCAGAAGGGATTTTTTTTTTTTTTTGCAATTTGGCACTTCGTAGGATATTTGGCATGAGTGAAACACACTAACGATGGCAACACAACTACTAATACCGTGTGTGTGACCCAAAAATATAAATGTACTACCACGATGAATTTATAAATAATCCCAGGCCCCTCCTCAATGAACGTCAGCCTTTAGTGCATACAAACATAAGATCCCTCTTGTAAAATAGCCAACTCCCAATGATGTACCATGGATGAATGGCTCATTTGACTGTGAACCCCAATGAATCCGATGTCTGTAGGTCCTTTATGGGCAATCTAAGACTCGCTGCTTGCCCACCTAAAGCCTACATATAGCTGTTTGTCCATATTTACAGTAGGTACACCGTGCACATACTAAGCGCCCCAACAAGAATTAGGACATTTACAATATTTAAAACACTACCTCTTCTTTTCATATAAACAAAGGTTTCCATCAACTTAACAGTGGTTTTTCAGGTGGGTGGTGCAATAAACATTAACAGTTTGTTCAAATAACATTCAAAATTGGTAGGGAAACATGGAAACCACGTATTAAAGCATTAAAGGACCAATTATGTCAGAGAACCCATCCTTGTTAGCACATAATTCAATCCAAAAAACAAACGTTACAGCTTTCTTATTATTCACCCAAGTAAGAGAAACAAAAAAAAATTACAAATTAAATCGAGAAGCAGAATAACAGCAAAGCAAAGCAACAGCAAATCACATATCTAGATAGATGCATATATAATACAAATAGGGGCGGGAAAAGGAGACCCAGATCCAAAGAAAGATGTGAGATTTGATAGGTATACCTTGATTGAGAAATTAGAGGAAGCACCACCATGGGGACGCAAGAGAGGGAGATCAGAAGAAAAGGAGCCGAAAGCTAAAGAAGACGACGAGGAAGATGGGCCAGAAGAAGCGGAGGAGTCGAAGCGAGGACCAAGGAGTCTACCACGACCGCCACCAGGTCTCAAGCTCAACACCGTCTGATCACCTTGCTGCATACCTCGATCTTAATCTCCTGAAAGAATCTCCGCCGTCCGATCAAAGAACAAAGAGAGAGAGAGAGAGAGAGAGAGAGAGAGAGAGAGAGAGAGAGAAAGCAGAACAACAACGATAGACTCAGCGAAACAAGACACTGAATCCTATTGAATTGGATTTATAGAGATAAGGTGATTCCGATTCCGAGTCTGGTTCGGTTTTTCTCTCTTCTAAGGGAAAGAGAGAGAGAAAAGAGGGGAAGCTCAGAAGAGAGAAAGAGAGAGGGGTCCGTGGGGCGGTGGAGAGGCTAAAAAACCCTTCCTTTCCTTGGTGAAGTGAGAGAGAGTGTGTCCGCGTTGGAATTGGATTTCCTTTTTTTCTTTTCTTTTTTTTTCCCTCATGATTTTCGGTTTGAGTTTTTTTTTTGGTTTGGTATGTCGGGTGAGTGTGATTACGTTGTTGTCCACTTGTCGTGTCATCGGTAGGAGATGAGTTGTGAACACTTTTCTAATTTTTGAATTTGACGAATGTGCCCTTTGCCTTACTCTGACGTCTGTCCAAACTATACTTCCATTTTTAGATTACTTTGCTTATTTTTGTATAACCACCAAAATTACGCATAATTCACAAAAATTAAATAAAAACAAATTACTTAACAAAGCTCATAGAAAATACAAAAACCATGGTGGTGGTTTTATCTTTATTTTCAAGTATTGAATTTCAGATAGAACAAAAAAACCAAGACCTTAACTGAGAACAAAAAAACTTTTTGTAAAAATATAATCACCCTTTCAACGCACTTTCTGTCTAAATTTGTAATTTTGTCAAAATTTCTATGCAAATACATAAAGGGCTGGCTCATACCCACAAGATCAAATTAGCCCAGTACAACAAACCACAGACGAGCCCAAACACAGACAGGCCCGACAACTACAAAAGGCAAAATCTTCCAAATTTGAGTTAATTTGCCAAACCACGACCTTTGTTGATATCGTATGGCTCATGGTCAACCCTCGGAGCCGGAATTATAAGAGCTCATAAATTGATTATGTTCTTGCATGCGATTTTTTTCTCTTAGAATTATTAGCAATGGTCGAATCGAGGGTGGGTGTGTTATTTTTAATTCTATGTTAAGTATCTTAGTTAAGCAGTTTTTCCTTATCCTCGTCTTTATATCCGTAATATTCAAATCGAAAATTATTTGTTCATGCTTTTAGGCCCGGTAAATATATCCGTAATATTCAAATCGAAAATTCTCTGTTCCTGCTTTTAGGCCCGGTGCACAGTTATGCGGCATAAGAACCACAAAAAACGGAGCCTTCTATAACACATTTTAGCCTAAGAGATATAGTAGCAAAAAATACCTTTTATGTGTTTACCTGATGCTTTTTTGATTTTATTTCTTTACTTTTTATATAGTGGGCCTCTTTTACATAAACTAACCATTTTTTTTATTTAAAGTTTTGCTAAAACTAAGGTAAATATTGAACATAAAAGGCCTCAATTTTGATTTTCTGCCTTGGGTCTCTAAAATCAATGGACCGGCTCTTCCCACTATCGGTGGAGAACGAATTCTCTGAACCGCCCCATTATGAAAAAAAATGAATACAAATTACTTCGTAGAATGAGAACAAAGCACTATTAGCACAACATATGATATATATCAATTTAATTTTTATTAATTAAAAATCTAGACACTACATTTCCAAAACATGATCATGTAGCACCACAATCACACATCTTAATAACATATTTATATAAACAAATAAATTTTATATATATTCTAAATGAAACGAATTAAGATTGAGGATTAAAATACCATCTCGGCTCTTCCCGAACCCCTCTCCATACCCTTTTTTAATCCTTTGTATGTGACCAAGATTTTTACTGTCGAGAAAATTGGCATCCTTTGTGTAGAACCAACTTAGACTATAAACCGGTCCACGTGTAATCAAACACACCATCAATCTGCCACCTCATCACCAATCTACCCTTGGTTTTGCCCACGTCGATGCCCCAATTCAGGCCCCACAAATTCTCAAAGGAACCCACCGTTCTGATGTCAAGACCAAAAATTTCCTTCCCTTTCCAAACATACCATCCACGCAGGGTTTAATTTCATCCAACAGGACGATGGTACGGAAGTAATTTTCTGATAATTGAGGCCCAGCTTCACCTCCCAATCTTTCCTTCCCTCCCCGCGTCTAGAACCCAACTCAAACGTTCCATAACTATCTGGCACAACCTCAAACCTCTTGTATGTTTCTCACCGTCTGTCTGTCACTTTTCTCGAATTATCTCTTACATTACTATAAATTTGGAGTACCTGTACCCAACCTATCTCACATTTTGACATCACAAAGCCTTAATATTTTCCGAGCTTTCAAAACCATTTTTGCTAAAATTTCTTAGAATTCTGTGTGAATTTTGAGCGTTAAGCACAGTTCAATGGCGGCCGAGACTGAAGGCAAGGCCATAGGCATCGACCTTGGCACAACCTATAGCTGCGTTAGTGTGTGGCAAAACGACCGCGTTGAGATCATCGCCAACGACCAGGGCAACCTCACCACTCCCTCCTACGTGGCCTTCACAGACACCGAGCGGCTCATCGGCGATGCAGCGAAAACCCAAGTGGCCATGAATCCACAGAACATCATCTTCGAAGCCAAACATCTCATTGGATGGCGATTCTCCGACCCATCAGTCCAAAGCGACATGAAGCTCTGGCCTTTCAAGGTCATCCCTGGTCCCGGCGACAAACCCATGATCATCGTCAGGTACAAAGGCGAAGAAAAGACCTTTTCTGCGGAGGAGATATCTTCCATGGTGCTGACGAAGATGAGGGAGATAGCTGAGGCTTATTTGGGTCAGACCATAAAGAACGCTGTGGTGACTGTCCCTGCTTATTTCAACGACTCCCAGAGACAGGCTACCAAGGACGCCAGCGCTATTTATGGGCTCAACGTCATGCGAATTATCATCGAGCTCACCGCGGCCGCTATAGCCTATGGGCTGGACAAGAAGGCCTCGAGAAAAGGTGAGTAGAACGTCCTTATTTTTTATCTCGGCGGAGGCACTTTTGATGTCTCGCTTTTGACTATTGAATAGGGGATATTTGAGGTGAAGGCCACCGCCGACGATACTTATCTTGGTGGTGAAGATTTTGATAATAGAATGGTGAATCACTTTGTGGCCAAGTTCAAGAGGAAGCATAAGAAGGATATCAGTGGAAATGCCAGAGCTTTGAGGAGGTTGAGGACGGCGTGTGAGAGGGCTAAGAGGACCCTGTCTTCGACCTCTCAGACCACAATTGAGATTGATTCTTTGTACGAAGGGATTGATTTCTATGCGACGATTACAAGGGCCAGGTTCGAGGAGTTGAATATGGATTTGTTCAGGAAGTGTATGGAGCCGGTTGAAAAGTGTCTGAGGGATGCTTAGATTAACAAGAGTCAGGTTCACGATGTGGTTCTGGTTGGTGGGTCGACTAGAATTCCCGAGGTTCAGCAACTTTTGCAGGATTTTTTCAATCGGAAAGAGCTGTGCAAGAGCATAAACCCAGACGAAGCGGTTGCCTATGGTGCTGCGGTTCAAGTTGCGATCTTGAGCGGCGAAGGAGATGAGAAAGTGCAGGACCTGTTATTGCTCGATGTCACGCCCCTCAGTCTTGGGCTTGAGACTGCTGGTGGTGTTATGACTACTCTCATATCGAGGAACATAACAATTCCAACCAAGAAGGAGTAGATTTTCTCTATTTACTCCGATAATCAGCCGGGGTTTTGATCCAAGTCTACGAAGGAGAGCGCGCCCGAACCAAGGACAACAATTTATTGGGGAAGTTTGAGCTCACTGGGATTCCTCCTGCTCCTAGAGGCGTGCCCCAAATCAATGTGTGCTTTGACATTGATGCGAATGGCATTTTGAATGTGTTTGTTGAGGACAAGACTGCTGGAGTGAAGAACAAGATCACCATCACAACGATAAGGGAAGGCTGAGCAAGGAAGAAATAGAGAAGATGGTGCAAGATGCAGAGAAGTACAAGGCAGAGGACGAGGAGGTGAAGAAGAAAGTGGACGCCAAGAATGCGTTGGAAAACTACGCATATAACATGAGGAACACGGTGAAGGACGACAAGTTTGCAGGGAAATTGGACCCTGCGGACAAGGAGAAGATCGAGAAGGCAGTGGAGGATGCCATTAATTGGCTGGAGAGGAACCAGTTGGCTAAGGTTGATGAGTTGGAGGATAAGTTGAAGGAGTTGGAGGGGTTATGCAATCCAATAATTGCTAAGATGTACCAGGGTGGTGGTGGTGCTGGAGGCATGCCACCTATGGGGGATGATGCCATGTCTGGTGGTGCTTCTACTAGCTCTGCGACTGGACCTGGCCCTAAGATTGAAGAATTTGATTAAGTTGCTTCTAGTGGAGCTCTGTTTTCGTTTTTGGAGTCTTAAAAGTTTTTGTTGTTCTGTTTTTGGTTAAGCTTGTAAACATGTGTTTTTTGAGTTTTGTTTTTTTTAAAAGTCCCTAAGTAGTGTATGTTTATATGTAATAGAGAGTCAGCAACCAATCTAATATAAGAAGTTGGGTTTACTTTTTTGGTTCATAGTGAGACTTGTCTTATCAAAAAATGATAACAACAATGGAGAAGTTCATGTTTGTGCAACCATCGATTCAGCAGCCGGTAGTTTAGTTCATCCTGGGAACCCAAAGAAAAAAAGCTTTCAAAATGTCTCTGGCAAATTGGTTGGCAATTCACCAAAATCAATTCACAAAAGAGCGAAAAAGAAACTGTGCCGCATTTGATGCTTGCTTACCTTCAGACTTCAGTGAAATTTAAAATCAAACTAATTGAATGGCTCCAAAAGTTGAAATGGATGGAAGGTCAAAATCTTGAGCCGGGCCTTATTGAAATGGGCCTGGACAAGCTATGGCCCAATAAGGAACGAAGCCCATCGCAGTCCAGTCAACTCGCATTCTTCTTCATCCAATTCAACATCCTAAAAATTATGGATAAGGAGGAGAAGGAATTTGCTGAAAGCAGTAGCTAGCTGTTGTTGAGTGTTTTGAGACATGGCTGGGATCACCACCAGCTGCGCATCCAAAGCTATGCTATCCCGAACCACATATAAAACGACGCCGTCTCCATTCTCACTCTCACTCTCCTCCGTGGAGTCCAAACTCTTCGGCCTTCGTTTTAATAACTCCTCCAGCTGTTTTAGCTGTCTCTCCTCAACTGTCAGCAGCCCAATAACCGCCCGTTTCGGCGGCGGCCCGCGTTTTCCCGGCAATGACCCCAGGCGCTCACGGAAAAGCGACTCCGATGAGGACGAGGCCCTTGATATCTCCTCTATCAGGTTAATCAATTTATTAGTTTATCAATAATTTATGCAAGTGATCAATTTTCGTCAATCGAAATTGAATTTTTGAGTTGATGGTTTGTTTTGAAATAGGTCAGATACCGTGAGGCTAATTGATGCGAAGCAGAACATGGTTTGCATTTTCTTTTTCTTCTGTTATTTATTTTGTCTTAATTTTTATTTAATTTATGTTAAACTGCTCAGTTTAGTTGCTGGTGAATTGTTTGGGGGGAGAATATAAAAAGCATTATCAAAGTCTTGAAGTTGTTTATTGTTGTTCTGCGTAGGTTGGAGTGGTCTCTAAAAGGGAGGCTATTCGACTGGCTGACGATGCTGATCTTGATTTGGTATACATTTTGCCACTAATTTTTGTTTTTCCTTTTTGTGATTTATTATTTGAGCTTCTTATTTGAGTTAGAAATGATGCTTTTATAACATGGTTTTGAAGACTAATCTCTTCTGCATTGTTGCAGGTAATATTATCTCCAGAAGCAGATCCTCCAGTTCTCAGGATAATGGATTACAAGTATGATAGCTTTCGTATGATTTTAGAACAAGTCCATAATTCTCTTCATTTCGACTGTTTCCTGTTCTTATTTGTGATAAATGCTCAAAATGTTCTTATTCAAATCGATCCTCTTACAGTTTTATGTTATTATAATGACGTAATTGAACATAGATAGCAAGAGGTGTAACTACTGATGCATTACTGATAAACTGTGTTAGCACATTGACCAGTTTGTTGAGTGGAAATGCAAAATTGGGACCTCAGTTTTTTTCCTATAAATCCTGTTAGCAAATTTACAGATGTGTTTACAGGGAACCAATTGCCCTAAATATATGTTCTTTTCTTTTCAATCAGAGAACGGGTAGACCTAATTATCTATACCTTTTCTTTTTGTCAGTAAATATAGGTATGAACAACAGAAGAAGAAAAGAGGCCAGCAGAAGAAAAGTGCAGGTGAGTGTTCTCTGTCTTGAGACTGTTTCCTTTTTCTTTCTAATTCATGCATAATCCTCCGATTTGAGAAAGACACTGACTGGATTCTTGTCTTATATGTTAGCAAGCCGCATGGATTTGAAGGAGCTCAAAATGGGGTAAAGCACTGAATCATATATATGGTTTTTTGCATTCAGTCTTATTTCAAATCTCATAACATGTTTGTTTGATGTGTAAGTTCATTAATGGCTGATTAAATAGATATTGAAAAAAAGAAGGTTGAATTACATAGAGAGTTGCATATATAACTTTTATATTATGAAACAATATTTTCTTTGATAGGCTTGTAGTGTTAATATGGCTTCCACCAAAGAAAATGAGAGTATGTTACTTTGAAGTATGAAGCAAAAGTCGAACTCTCTCATAGTTAATTTTCAAAAACATCAAACTAAGCACACAAAAAAAAACTTTATCTGTGCTATCATGAGAGGATCTTAAATGGAACTTGGCTGGATTGTTTCCAACAAATAGTCAACTCAACCGAACAAGGCCTCGTTGGCAGCTACTGTGGGTCATCTGTCCATGGTGCTTTATGAATAATGTTTTTAAGTGTTAGTTTTCTCAAATTTTTGCTAGACATTAAGCAATTGAGTGAATCATTAGCTGTCAATATCTGACTTGGTACTTTTGTCATGTGACTGGCTCTGGTTGCGATGGTGTTGACTGTTCATATTAATTAGAATATGTGAGTGGTAAAACCAGTAACATAAATTAGGTTTTCAGATGTTTATGCATGTGGCATTTACTTATATGTTCTAAATTTTATTATTTAATAAAGGGCCTTGATTCCTAATTTGAACTAGATGCTGTACTTTATTTGTATGTATAAATTTTTTGATAATTATTATTGTCTGTACAGTTACAACATTGACCAACATGATTACTCTGTGCGTTTGAGAGCTGCCCAGAAGTTTTTGAAAGATGGTGATAAGGTTGCTTAGATTTCTCAATAATGTCAGGATTTTCCTTCCTATATTAAAACTCCCTGTATTGTTCTTATGTTTTTCTGTATTGAATTTTCGTAGGTCAAGGTTATTGTCCACTTGAAAGGCCGTGAAAATGATTTCCGAAATATTGCTATTGCACTTATCAAACGCTTCCAGAATGATGTTGGGGAGGTAATGATGCATTTTTGTGTTTAGAATCATAAACAGATGGTAAATACTAAGTGCTTGTTTTTCAAATGCCTGAAGTGCTTCAGATTGGTCTCTTTTTTTTCTTTTTTCTTTTTTGGAGGGTGGTGGAAGGAGTTTACAATCTAGAGCTCTTTAAGTTCTGGTTATTTTCATTAGGAGTAAGTCAGCTGTTCAGGTTTTTTTAAATCTACAATTGTTTGCTTGTTTCCATGGGTTGCAGCTGGCAACAGAGGAAGCCAAAAGCTTCAGCGACAAGAACATGTTTATAGTTTTAGTTCCCAACAAGGCTATTCTACAGAAAGCTCAAGAACCGCCGCCAAAGAAGAAAGAAAACTCTGCACCTGCAGTGAATGAAATATCAGCTGGTGTCTGAGTGGACTTGAGTTTGAAGCAGGTTTTACATATAGGTAAATCATTTGGATTTTCATTTTGTTTGTCAACTAGGTTGGGAATCTCTGAGGTTGTGTATAGTAGTAGTGTAATAGTGTTGTACGAGAAGAACGTGTATAATAGATTTTGATATCAAGACTGTCTTTTCAATTAACAAACTTGCAGAATTTTGTAGACTGTAATCTTCAAAATAAAAAATAACAAAAATGTAAAGCTTTCATATGAAGCAAACATTTCTGGTCCAGACTAGATGAACATTTAACAGTTCCATAGCAAAAATTAGTCTTGTAGGCAGTACAATTTAGTGATTGTGTTTGAGATATATTCTCTTATTTCTAGTTCTCTCGGGACACGTGCTTTTGAAGACAAGGAATATGGCCAGGGGAAAGTATATGCGATTGCATCGTCAAATAGTCTTGATTGCTTATTTGGCCAGGTGCTGGATGATTGCTGTTGAAGCAGATTAAGTGATCAAACCTGGTTATGCATGTTGTTATTCAAATGCTTATTATTATTATCCACCTTTCTTTTGCATATGGAAAGTAGGAGAGACTGGCATGATGTTAATTCGACCCCAGTGAAGCAAAGCGTCCAGAGCATGTGCTAGTGAGTTGTAATAGGTTGCTGGTTAATTATAGAAGTTGGGGTGTTTTGCTAATCTCTGACTCTCTCTGTGTGCCCAGATGGGGAGGCTTCAACTCACCTACCTAACGATTTGAACTTGGCTTAGCTTCTAAGTTCTTAGAACTCAAGTCTTCTCGTTTGCATATTTTTCTTATATATAACTGGGTAACCACTAAATTTTTTTAAAGCAATGTTTTTGCAATAGTTTAAGTATTTTTCTGTTGGGGGATTCGTGTTTCTTATCAGATATGGGCCCACTGTGACCCAAGTATATCAATCAACAACAAACTTAACTGTATTTTCTTAAGAGGAAATGTGGTGGAAATGTGGTCTTGTGAAACATGTTATGCTGTAATGTCCAACCTGAATATCGATTCTTACTTGGATTTATGAATAAATTGATGACAACGTAACCAAATTCCCTTTATTTCTGTTCGGGTGTAAATTTACAATGTCACGGTCTATGAAAGAAGTCAACAAAAGCGACTGATCCAAATGCCAATGATTTCTTGTAATACATCATCAACCATCCCGCTATCCCACCCACCAATGATAAACAAGTTATGAGCTCAAACGGAATAAAAGATTTTTTGGACCAGAAAATTGCAGATCGGAAAAAAGAAAAAGAAAAAGGAACTTTGGAGTTCTACTGTGAATCTCGAACAGAATAATCTTCAAAGTGGGAGTGGAACAGTAGGAAAAATGTCCTAATTGCCCAATTAATTACCTTCCCTGTTACATAATTCGTAGGTAATAAAAATTAAAAATTAAAAAAAACAATTTTAGAGAAACGGTTTTTGTTGGGTGCTACTACATGTACATCAATGATTTAATAGCACACAAAATAAATAAATAAAATTAAAAATAAGGGAAGGTGACAGTGAGGGTTGAAGAAAAAGGCGGGAGAGAAGGTGAGTATAGTTGAAGGTATGGACGGAAGCTTAGGTTGAAGGCAATGGCAATGGGGACCCTGCAACAAACATCCATCTGGCCTTGAAACTTGTTTGAGAATATTAGGTGGTGAGGTGAGAGACGGCCCGCACCAAATATCTCATGCCAACCTTTAAGCTTAGCTAGCTATCTTACTACTAGTACTACTACTTCCCCACCCCTTCTTCATCATAAAAACGAAACCTCACCATCTAGACATCCTCATCCGAACACCATGGAAGCCAGCGCCGGACTTGTTGCCGGTTCTCACAACCGCAATGAACTCGTCGTCATTCATGGCCATGAAGAGGTAATTAATAAATCATATAATTAATTAATGAACTATAAGTGTATGTGTTTGATGTTTTTCTGATGTTTTCTGATGTTTGATGCCTGCAGCACAAACCATTGAGGAACTTGGATGGGCAGGTCTGTGAGATATGCGGGGACGATGTGGGATTGACGGTGGATGGAGATTTGTTTGTGGCGTGCAATGAGTGTGGGTTCCCAGTTTGCAGGCCTTGCTATGAGTACGAGCGCAGAGAAGGCTCCCAGAACTGCCCTCAGTGCAAAACCAGATACAAGCGTCTCAAAGGCAGCCCCCGCGTCGAAGGAGATGATGACGAAGAGGACGTGGATGACATTGAACATGAATTCAACATTAATAGTAACCATCATCCAGAAGATGATGATCAACTTAATAATGGCAACACCAGATCATCAACTTATAATAAGCACAATATTAATAATGAGCATCTGGCTGAAGCCATGCTCCATGGCAAGATGAGCTATGGCAGAGGACCTGACGATCCTGATCAAGACTCCCAATTCCCATCTGTAATCGCTGGTGGCAGATCCCGCCCGGTATTTTTAATCAAACCCCACTAATTCATATTCATACTGTGAATAAATTAACTCATGTGTACATATTCATTGATCTATGCATTCAGGTTAGCGGCGAGCTCACATTCTTATCTCATGGAGATCAGCAGATGCCATCTTCTTCATTGCATAAGCGAGTGCATCCCTACCCAGTTTCTGAGCCCGGTATGATATATATACTATATTCATTCATTCACTCATTTTATCTATCTATCTATCTATCTATCTATCTTGTTAATTTTTGAAGGATGTATTAGTTTGTGGATTAAACTCCTTCCTAAAATAGTAATTCCAAACTTCCATCACATATACGTTTTGCAATTTATACAGGAAGTGAAAGATGGGATGCTGAGAAGAAAGAGGGAGCTGGGTGGAAAGAAAGAATGGATGACTGGAAAATGCAGCATCAAGGCAACCTGGGGGGCCCTGATCAACCTGATGACTTGAATGATGCAGACATGTCCATGTACGTACATATACATACAATAAGTCCTTAATTTCATTTATTTATGAACATCATACAATATAATATAATATCTGGTACTGCCTGCAGGAGCGATGAAGCTAGGCAGCCACTCTCAAGGAAAGTACCAATTGCATCAAGCAAGATCAACCCTTATCGGATGATCATTGTGGCTCGCCTTTTTATTTTGGGCTTCTTCCTTCGGTATAGGCTTTTGAATCCAGTCTTTGATGCATTTGGTCTCTGGTTAGCCTCTGTCATCTGTGAAATATGGTTTGCGATTTCATGGATCCTTGATCAGTTCCCAAAGTGGTACCCCATTGATCGTGAGACCTACCTTGATCGCCTTTCACTCAGGTATACATACATATATTATATATAAGCTCTGCTGGCATTGGTTTACACACAATTTACTAATAAATATATAAAATATGTTACTGCAAGCAAACATAATTTCAGCTATGTCATCTGCCTACGCAGGACAACTATCAAATGTTTGTTTTTACAAAAAATATTCAAGGACTTGAAGCCTGATATTCTGCCTCCTTAGTCTCATTGTGGCAGTTAATAATATGACATGACATAATGCTTGAGATGAAGTAATATGATGTCTGATGTATCTTAAACCTCTATAAAATCAATTCATGGATGCAGGTATGAGAGAGAGGGCGAACCAAATATGCTCTGCCCAGTAGATGTGTTTGTGAGTACTGTGGATCCGATGAAGGAACCTCCACTTAATACAGCCAATACAGTTCTTTCAATCTTGTCTATGGACTACCCTGTTGATAAGATCTCATGCTACATCTCTGATGATGGAGCTTCCATGCTCACCTTTGAAGCCTTGTCAGAAACTGCAGAATTTGCACGCAAATGGGTTCCTTTTTGCAAGAAATTTACCATTGAGCCTCGAGCCCCCGAGATGTACTTCTCTGAGAAGATTGATTATCTCAAGGACAAAGTCCAGCCAACATTTGTGAAGGAGCGTCGAGCTATGAAGGTGTGTATATGTGCTATAGAATATTATAAATACTAGAACAGACCTGCTTACTTGATTAAGATGCACGATGAAGGCTTATTAATTAAGTAGTTGGTTATAGACATATAAATTTTCTTTTGGTGAATGGCCAAATGCATGCAGAGAGAATATGAAGAATTCAAGGTTAGGGTAAATGCGCTTGTTGCCAAAGCCACAAAGGTTCCACCAGAAGGGTGGATTATGCAAGATGGGACACCATGGCCTGGAAACAATACAAAGGATCACCCTGGTATGATTCAAGTCTTTCTTGGTCACAGTGGAGGCCTTGATACTGAAGGAAACGAGCTTCCTCGTCTTGTCTACGTGTCTCGTGAAAAGAGGCCTGGTTTTCAACATCACAAGAAGGCCGGTGCCATGAATGCCCTGGTAATTATATGATATTTTAATTGAAGCGTTCCTTTTCTTCTGTTTGGTTTGGTTGGCCAATTAAAATTGTGCCATGAATCCTTGGTAACAACAGGTTCGTGTCTCTGGAGTGCTTACCAATGCTCCTTTCATGCTCAACTTGGATTGTGACCATTATGTGAACAACAGCAAGGCTGCGAGAGAGGCCATGTGTTTCTTGATGGACCCCCAAATTGGAAGGAAGGTTTGCTATGTCCAGTTCCCTCAAAGATTTGATGGTATTGACAGGAACGATCGTTATGCCAACAGAAATACAGTCTTCTTCGATGTAAGCATGAAACATATTAGATTTTGTTTCTTTCAATAAATTGTGGCAGTATGAATTGAAATGATGTTCTCTCTCTTTGGTTTTCAGATTAACATGAAAGGTCTTGATGGAATTCAAGGTCCTGTGTATGTGGGCACAGGATGTGTGTTCAGAAGGCAAGCTTTGTATGGCTATAATCCTCCAAAGGGTCCTAAGCGCCCAAAGATGGTAAGCTGTGACTGCTGCCCGTGTTTTGGACGCCGCAAGAAGCTTCCAAAGTATTCCAAGCATGCTGCAAATGGACAAGGTGCAAACCTACAAGGTGGGCATCAATAATCAAACGATTTTTTGTTTCTTAACCAATTTGCTACCTTGCCTGAGTAAAAACTAAAC